GGCTCTGCACTTCCTGAGCTGAGAACACTTCAATCAAATACATATTTTTTTTTCTTCTTTTTTAGAAAAAAACTATCACAACTGAAAAATTATCTATAGAACTTCACGGGTAAAATTCCAAAAGTGCGAGTGAAGATTCGACGTAAGAGCGTTTTTTTCTAAAAGTTTTGTGTCCTGCCTCCTGGTTCTGAAATGACCGCTTAAGTTGATGCGTATTTAAATTCCGATCTAACTTCTTTTTAACTCTCATGCAAAAACAAATATGTTAGAATACGCGCTCAAAGTGTTTTCCTTGAAGTGTTCTTAGCTCAGGAAGTGCAGAGTCGCAGCCCATATTCTGGAAGGGCAACTTTGTGATCAATTTAAACGATTAAAGCATTTTTTCGAAAATCGATAAAATGTTACGATAAAAACCAGCAGTGGTTTACTTAATCGGCGCAATGAATGACGTTGGGATCACATTCAGGTATGAGATAAACAAGCAAAGCCATGAACACCAAGCGAATTTCAGTACCTACAACGCCTGAATGCAACTATTGAAGCTCCACGGATGTCCGTGTTGCATAAGCACAGAAATGAAGGCGTTTTCACTCTGCAGGCACTCACCACTTTACCCGCTCGGCGAGGCAGCGGGTTTTACTGCGAGATTTCAAAAAATGACAGAGCCTTCAATTCTTCGTTTACGCCGCAAAAACATGCACTCCACCTAGTAAAATTAAAAATTTGACTCAACTCTTTCTCCTGTGCTATCTTTTAAATTATTAGCACCTAGACAATAATTACTTACTTTCACACTATCCATTGAAAAAAAGGTAGAGGAAGCAGTGATTGTCTTGCTCACATGAACGCTTCGTAGCATTAAGTACAACGTCGCAATATTTCACCAGAAATTGTATCAATTACTCCAGAATTTTAAACGTCTTCAGGGTTTTTCATTTCGCCCTGGCAAATTTCCGGGAATTTTTGAGTATGAGACATGCACCCCTTAATGAACAGACATACGTTTTTAGGTGTAACGTGGCAACTTTACAATGCAATTATGCCCCTCTGATTCGCACCTCTGCAATTTCTTCTTTGAAAGCCAATTTTATTAACAATTTACACATCATGTCGATCCAAAGAGGCATTATTGAATAGACGAACACCAAACTTAAAGTCAATCAAATCAAATCATTCTATGGCAAACACAATATCAATGGTGAAACTACCATACCACGTATCTCGGAAAACCCGATTTTTCAGGAGAGCAATAAAACTGACTTCGTTCCTTTTTTGTGATGATTGAAAGGTAATAATTCTTGGAGGTAGAAACAATCAATTGCTTTTCACCACGCATTAAACATTTTTGAAAATAGCCCCAACAGTTAGGACACGCAGAGGAAAAACCGAGTTACGTATGTGTTCTGCGAATTAGGAACCAACACTATTACCTCGAGGTATATGAATTTCAAATTAAGGTTTTTAGCCTGTTACTTGAAGATTTTGATCGATGTAAGGCCTGGCGAAGAGTCATATTGAACAGCGTGATTAAATTAATTCACTGGAAGCTTCTGTTGATCCTACAGCTGGAGCAGTCATCAGGTTTTTAGAAATTACTATTCTTTTAAACGCCATGACAGATCAGGTACTCCGTTGTAAGAAAGTATAGGTATGTATCAGGTTACCTTCTTAACCCTAGTCTGCCTGAGTGGGGTCAGATTGACCCTCACAATATGACCTTGTCCTTCACAAATAGCTCTACAAAAACATCCAGGAACACGAATTTGAAGGGGGGGAAAAAAAAAAAAAAAAAAAAAAAAAATGTGCATGAGAGATCAAAAAATTCACGAGTACCCCTAGAAAGCCTGAGCGGGGTCAGATATCCTTATAACATATATTTTACCATTTAGCATCACAAAAGCTTACTTTGAAGGTGTATTAATTTTTCTCTTTTTAATTTTTTTCAGAAACTTATAAAACAAGCAAAATTTTTCAGATTTTTTTCGTTTTCAGTATTCAGTAGCCCTATGATTTTTTTCTCATGCTGAGAACAACATGGCAACATGTGTATGATAAAATGGTTGCATACCCTACGCCGTGTTTTTTAAAACTTAAGGTATGCTGTATGGTTAAGGCCTGTGAAGTTAGTGCACTGATATTAACTAAAAACATGAAAAAAACATAGCTAACTAATTGATTTTCAGCTGGGGTCAAATTGACCCCGCTCAGGCTTTCTCGTTGGTTCAGAGGCTCAGGCAGACTAGGGTTAAATGATCATCCTAATACTCTTTAAAAAAAAGGTTTTCCTTTCCTCAGTGGACGAGTCGCCTTCCAATACAAGCGTATGCAACATCGATTACACCTCTTGTCCGCATTATATTATCCGTTACTTGTTGACATCTGACGCGCACCTATCTGTCACTTCCTCAAGCGGACCTAGCCTAAGGCTGCCTTCTGTAGCCTTCAGTAGAACATTTAGTGTGTGCCTTGCATTTATAGATTACTCAAGTTGAAAAAAAGTTGTCTTGAAGTTGAAAGACGTGGCGAAAAAACGGACAACTTCCCAACCCCGCGCGTCGATGAGCGAGATTAGCGTGGGTTATGAGGACGGGAATAGGATGGAGACGAGGAGGATTTTGTCATATTTTTTTATATTTTTGCTCATTACTTTTTCAGATGCAAACGTTTAATATCTTAGAAGAATGAGTGTTTGCTTTTTTTTTTTTTTTTGGTCCCACGGAAACAAATAAATAATTGAGATTTTTGGTGAAAATGAGGGAGCGCCAATTTCATAAGGGAAGATTCACTAAAACTCTTTGCACCTTTTTGGTGCAACAGCCTTAATTACCTTTCAAGAAAATCTCATCTCTTTATACTTGAACCGGATACACCTTTTGATTTGCCTCAGCTAAAGGCTCCTAATTTTTCCTGTTTGCGATAATTTCGCGACGCGACGGCGCGCGGGGCGAGATATGTGAATTACGAATTAGCGCTGAGATATCGACGGTGAAACTACCAAACCACGTATCTCGGTTTGCGACGTCGCAGACTTCCTGTCATACTTTATTTTTTAAATGAAAAACTACTTAACATCCAGTCTTGAAAATTTCTGTGATTTTTCCTCTTTGTGCGGAGAAAATTCCGTGAAAATTTCAAGGAATGATATTGATTTGGTCTACTTCGAAAAAAAAAATGTGAGCGTAGATTTTTTAAACACCGCAAACGAGATACGTGGTTGGGTAGTTTCACCATCGATATTTCTTCAGCGACATTATTTGCGGACATAATTTCTTACTTTTCTAGCTGAATTTTAACCTCGACCTCATTCTAAACTGTTTTGATTCAATAGAACTATCTCAGCGGAGAATGAGGTTGCTTATCTAATAATCATAATATCCTCGAAACGGTTGAATCTTCTCGGGCAATAATTTATTAACTCTGACTATGGATCCAATTGTTATTCCACATAAATTGAGCAGTAGATCATATTTCATTTCAGTTTCCCTTTCCTGCGAAAAGAGAAAAATTGTGTTTTAGTAAAACGATTGGTATGTCGTGTGTGTCTTACGAATCTCAGGTTCTGCGCTCAATGGGTCAGATGCGCTGGTCACAGAATCCTGTTTTGGTGCTTAGTTCTCGTAGATTTGTTAAAATAATCAGATCAGTCTTAACAGCAACTTTCTACGCTCAATATTAGACGCGATATCGCCCTTTGAAAAGTCGAGATTTTGACGTCATCCACCGTGGAAGTGACACCCTTGCTTTCATCCGAGTTGCACGTCGCAGGGCCGGATTAAGGGGGTGGCCACGTGGGCCGCGGCCCATGGCGGCAAAATTAGGGGGCGGCAAATATTGCAATTTTTTTAAATGTAGGTACAAAAAAATCGGATTCAGAAAAACATTGCAAACAAGGAAAGGTGACAAAATCTCTCATTTTCTGAGAGTTCATTAATTTTTAATTTTGTCGTATTTCGGTGATACAAAAGACTGCGCACCTTTAATTAGTTGAGTTATGAGAGAAACCAAACACGTAATTTGGCCTGGAGCGGCGCGGCGCAAAGAGAAATGATGACGAGGACTTGAGATGGAAAGGAGAACCCCTCGACGCGGCGGTCGGCATGTAACACATATTAGCGCCTACGAGACCGCATGAATACTTCACGCATTGCGTCAAACACAGTACGGTCAACAGCGGTCGGCGCGGCGTGAAACGCACAGTGCCTACAAAACTACATGAATACTTCACGCATTGTGCCAAACACGGTGTGGTCAGCGCGGCACGGCGGCGAAAGTTAAAATTATTAAACCACAGTTTGTTCTTTCTTAATTTTTTAGTTCATTTCTTACAAATGAAAGGCCTTGTCCCCACAGAGATAGGTTTACGGAACTGAACTTTCGCGCGAAGTTCCGTGAACTTTAACTGGTATATAGTGTTGGCAGGGCTGACGCAAAAAATGTGTCCAACACGAGTGAACGCGTCTTATGCACTCTTATCCCTCCGGCACGTTCACTTGATGGTTTTTATTGATGTTTCAAAATGAATGAGCAGAGGGCGGCAAAATACAGGCGGTCCATGGGCGGCAAGTAGGTAAATCCGGCCATGGCACGTTGAGCAACCTGTGCAAACGGTCGTCACACCGACTAATGAAGGCAAAGTGGAGGAAACCAAGGGTGTCACTTCTGCGGTGGATGACGTCAAAAACTCGACTTTTCAAGGGGCGGTATCGCGGCCCGGTTAATATTGAACGTAGAAAGTTGCTGTTTGGACAGATCTTATTATTTTTAGCTGATCTACAAGAATCAAGCACGATTCTGTGACCGGCGCAACCGATCCTGCACCTGGATTCATAATTCAGGAGATTCAAATAATTTCTCCATTGCAATGATGATATGATTTGGAGGGAAAAAGCGGTAATAATAATAAAACGATAGTCCGGCTGATTGTGATCAGCCCCGGCACTACTATAAATACAATTTGAATTTATTTATTATCGTTTATTTCAATGAATACAAGGACCAACGTAAGGAAGTGTGCGATCAAAGCTCATAATGTCGTTAAAGTAAGCTTTCCTGTGTAAAATCTATCATGATGCGTTGCAGATGTCACCTCTCAAAATGAACTCAGGCACCAACTCACTCGTTAAAGGCTGCATATTGTCTGCAACACAATACAAATAATGTGTGAACTTCCACAACATAAAAAGCTTGAAAATTTCAGTGAAATATTTCATGAAATTCCACGAGGCTGTGAAATATTTTATATTTTTCAGGGGCTAGTGTATGCAACCCGCAATCAAGTACACAAAATTAGAAGAACGTCACAATTTTTACATTTTGCGAAACACGAAAAGGAACCAGTATTCTTCAATATATCTTTCATAAATTTTTGAAGTTTCGTGAAATATTTCACGTGAAATTTCAAGATTTTGTTTTTTATGATATTTTGCCACCCTGGTCGTTGTCACCTCATTCCACTCGGCTTATTCTGGTGATTTTTTGCTCTTTTAGACCATTTCCAGCTGTGCTCGGCAACATTGGTGTGCATGTTTCCGGCTGATCACGTCATTGTAGAGCCCGTTGATGACGTCAGCAGGGCGCATAATACTGTTGTACCACTTTTTTCGCCCGTTTCTATTTTTGACTTGCGGCAGGTGGAAAACCCGTCATGAACTTCGGGATGGACGTATTTCATCGGACATGCGCCAAAAGCTCAAAGGGAGCAACCTTCAACCCTGAGAAAGTCTGTGGACATGATTTCCAAAATTATGGATTTTCCCTGTTAAAAATGTCCCATGGGGAATGAATACATGGGGTAATTACATGGGGACCTATGGGAGCTCATGAGCAGTAATGGGCATCCGTGGGGAAAATCGGAATGTCATTGGGGAAGAGCGGGAATGCCCACGCGCACGGGGACTCCAAGTTTTTTTGCGGGGCAAATCAGCGTGTGCCTTGTAGGGCATTTTTAACAAGACAACCAATGACACTCGCGGGCTAAATGAACGGTCGGCAGCCAGTGACCCACTCTCAAGAGACTATATCGACGGTGAAAGTCGGCAATCACATAACTCGATTTGCGACGTCGCAGACTTCCGGTCTTACTTTATTTTTTACATGGAAAACTACTCAACGGCAATTCTTTAAAACTGTCATGATTTTTCTTCTCAATGCGAAGAAAATTCTGCAAAAACTTCAAGAAATAATATCAATTTGTTCTCCTTTAAAAAAATGACGTAGAGGCGGAGATTTTCAGACACCGCAAACGAGTTATGTGATTGCCGACTTTCACCGTCGATATGCACTCGGCAGTCTCTGCGTATTACACACACAGTCGTTCTGTACAGTAAGGGCTACTCTTGTGACAGCAGCCTTAGTGGGTATTTAGGAGAAAAATCATGGTTATTTTCGATCAGCGCTCAAAATCACGGGCAAAACTTATTTCTTGCATGCTCAGTTTTTTTAGTGTAAAAGGTTTTACAAGCTCATATTATGAATTACTTGGAAGAAGAAGTTGTACCTCTCCAGAGCAATGTTTGAGGGATTTGTTGATAAGACTGTATGAGGTCCGCAATGTCAGGTAAGACCGATGAATCCAAGACTGAGTCCAGCATTTGAGGGGTTAGCATGGGAGGAGACACTTTATGAGCAATATCCAGCGAAGTACCTTTCAGAGTTCCCTGCAAACATGGACGGCATAAGTATTCTCAAAAATGCGCCCTTCACAATCAGAGCCACCTATGAATAAATGAACGTATATCTGCTAAACGGAACTTTGTGCGTTAAGACATGAGCCTTGAGACCCATAAGAATATATGCATAATAGGGCTCACTTCAGTTCCGTTTGGCAGAAATACGTCCAAATGTGTTACGTGACTCTGACGACTTGAGGTGCCAAGGTACTATGGAGCAAAATTTGTTTCATGGAGAGGAAAAAAACTTTCCGGTAGTGCGGCCTGAAAAACTCAGTTTTGAGCTGTGCGACGCCTGCTTATGAACTATTAAATTCAAACTTATCCTCAATGTTGGAACATTTCTTTCTTAAAATCACAAAATCACCGCATAAGTATTTCCTTTATCAGTTTCGTTAATTCTACCGAGGCGGTAAGGAAAAACAAACTAGATAGATATTGCCGAATCTCATTTCATAAATGAGGAATTTCTGGGAGAAGCCGTAATTTTTTTTTCCAAAACCGGTCAATTTCTTGCGCAGTTGGAACCGATTTACCTTAGAGTCAACCTTGCTACGACACGTTAACCAATCACCCCTAGCGCTTTTTATGATATTTTTCGAAGAAATTAAAGAACCTTTTCCTTTTTTTAACAAAAATACTGAAGATAAATCTATTATTATTTATTCCAAGAGCACAATGAAAAAACCTCTCACAAAATGCGTGTGCGTTAATTCATTCCTCTTATTTTTCTAGTAAAAAAAAAAAAAAAAATACAAATAAAAAAACAAAAAAAGAGAGGGAGAGAGAGAGAGAGAGACACCAATCCAAACGCGAGGAAAACAGGAAAATTGTGAGACGGATTGTGGTTCATATCGTTCAATATCCCGAGCCAGTGTACTTGGAAACCTCAAGAAAAATGTCATGGACTTTATCTAAATTGAATAATTTATGACGGAAATTTGGGAGCATTTGACACAGCGGCAGTTCTCCTCAAAACTTTCGAAGTAGTATCACATCCCCCCTCATCGTCGCAATCTTCAAGCTTGAAAAGTTTTCATTTCCATTTGAAGCTCTGGTCAAGAATCGATTATGAGGGTGTTGCGAACACTCTCTTCAACGATACTTTTCCATAGGTTTGAATGACAGATAAATCGATGTATCGCAAAGCACGCTACGCCACTGTACTGTCCTCCTTTTAAATCCATTATAAATATCGATTCACGGTCAGGCAGGCTGCTCCAACTGTGAATAGATTCTCTCAGAAATATCGAAATAGAGGAGAAACCGTGTTCTCAGCTAATGAAATAGACAGCCTTGTTTAAATGTTTCCAACTTCGTCTTGAAACTCGTGATAACGCTCACAATAAATAACGTGGTATTTTCCAAGACTTAATCTCATTTTTTTCGGAAGTTTCTAAATGATTAAAACTGAGAGGATCTGATAATTGGACGTATTTCTGCTAAACGGATAACTATGTGTAAAATGATGCGATCCCTATCATGCATATATTCTTATGAGTCTCAGGGCTCATGTCTTAATGCACATAGTTCTGTTTGGCAGAAATACGTCCAATTAGAGGAAAACGCGAGGCACGAATTTGGGAAACGGACAACTAATCAATACGAATCGGAATCTTAAAGAGGGGAAAAACAAAACAGTGTCACGTGCTGAAACGAAATACTGAAACTTCTAGAAACATCTCACGGCCTCGATCTTCTTCTCACTGCTGAAATCTGACTGACACCGTTGTTTTCATTGACTCTGGGTGAAGGCTGAAAAGGACGGAGATTTGCGATAACGAATCAAATTCGTCCGGCAAATAAAGGCCATGGGGGGGGGGGTGGTCGTGAAAGACAGAAAATATGTATTTTGAATATACGCAATTTGGCAAGTCACAAATTAATGGGCAAAGTGCGAGACCATGTTTTCTCATTTGCAGACTCCCTGTCATGCTTAATTGATTCTTCGGAAAACTATCCAGCGCAATTTCTTAAATACTGCCTAAATTTTTCTTCTTCGTTGGCAGAATATTCAATGTGAATTTCAAAATTGGTAGAAAAGCCCTGGAAAAAATTGGCAGTAGAATCTGTGTTCCAAAATACCATAGACCTACGGCCGGCTGTAAGATTTTCAATAGCTTCTATAGCCGGCTATACAATTTTTTATAGCCTTTTATGGCCGATGGCGATTAAGCAACTCACAGCCAGGCGATAAAGTGTATGCTAAACGTCACTAATTACGGATAATAGGACTTAGTGAGTTTTTGTGCCACTGCTCTCTTTTTGGGCCGTAGTATCTTGATTTATTTTGCGAGGAAAGCTCCGTACTTTTTATGGATGCCTGTCATTCCTTATATATTAGAGCGCCTTCAGTTTCGTATGATACTGTGCAATCAGGGCCGGATCTAGGGGGGGGCAAGTGGGTGCACGTGCCCCGGGCGCCACTTCAGGGGGGGCGCCAAAATGGCAATGACTTTTTTTAGAAAGGAGGTGAGAGGGAGGGAGGGTGAGAAGGGGGGAAGAGGAGAGGGAGGTTACGAACATCGAAACAGGAATACATACATATGAGTCGCTTTTATAGCGATCTTTGGCGCTTTACCACGCCTAATCGCCACAAAGCTCGAAACAGGAATAACATTAGAAAAAAGGGACGAAATTTGTCAGTTTTCATATCTTTTGAAGAGCACCTGAAAGCTGAAGTCAAAGTCAGCACTGAGCATAAGGCGTCAAGATTAAAGGTATGGATTGAAAATTCCAATATTTTTAATGCACACGGAATCGTTAAATGAATTCCGATGGGTTAACGAGGCTAACTCGGGGGTGAAAAAGGCGCTAGATTTAATGAAAGAACGAAATTAAAATAACAATGAGTGATGACTGTAAACTTAAACTATGAAAGAAGACGAGGCGCTACTTTAGGGGGGGGGGCGCCAAAATGGCAATGACTTTTTTTGGAGAGAGTGAGAGAGGGAGGGGAGGGAGGGAGAGGAAGAAAAGATGTAGGTTCCGAAACAGGAATAACATTATAGAAAAAAGGGGCGAAATTTGTCAGTTTTCATATCTTCTAAGGAGCATGATTCTGTGACCAGCAGAACTAACCTATTGCAAGATTCCAGCGTTTACAATTTTAGAAGTTCTTTCGCGTAAGATTGACGGGAAAATTGAATCTATTTTTGGGAAAAGGGCTTTTTAAACGGCGAAGAGATTAATAAGTTGAATGATGACGATTTAAAAAGCATGCGAAAGATTTCGCCATGAAGTACGCGATGGACGTAGATCCCTATGAATTTGTCGAGGAAACAGAAGTCTTTCGGGTACAAGCCAGAGAGCTCTCTGGCAATCTTCAAAAATTAAGCCCTCTTAACCTTCTGAATTTATTTGCGAAAAATGGCCAGAAAGATACGTTCCCAAATGTCGCGATCGCTTTGCGTTGTATTGCACTTTGCCGACAACCTCCGCTAGCTGTGAACGCAGTTTTAGTAAGTTAAAGCTCATCAAAAAATATTTGCGGTCGACCATGTCGCGGGAAAGATTGACAAATCTGGCCATTCTGTCAATCGAAAGTGTGGTTGCCTACACGGTTAATTTTGATTCCTTAATTGACATTTTTTCAGAAAAAAACCCTGGTAAAAATTGGCGATAGGAGCTGCGTTTCAAAATACCATAGGAGTTCTTATAGCCGACTAGAAAAGGCTATTGAAAATTATATAGCTGGCTGTAGAAAGCGGAGCAAATCATATAGCCGGGCAATACGAAGCTATAAAAAAGTATACAGTTGGGCTATAGTTCCTATCACCGGGCTTTACACTTTATCGCCTGGCTGTTGCTTCTTCGCCATCGATTATAAAAGGCTATAAGAAATTGTGTAGAAATTCGTGTGCTTTGGAAATCATTAAGTTTGATACGGAAGTACCTTTATATTTACGAAACACATACATATTATATTTTCCAGTGGCGTGGCGTGAAGGATCGATTATCGATATATCGCCATTTGAGGCTATGGTAAAGAATCGATTACTAAGGTGTTCGCTGCGAACGCCCTGATAATCGATCTTTTTTCATAGGTTTGGATGGCGAATCAATCGATATATCGCAAAGCACGCCACGCCTCTGATATTTTCCTTTAAAACATATTTTTTTTTCATCAATTAAAATGAGAATAGTCCATACAGAGTGTGCAAACATTTCAAAATCATGAGTTGAAAAACGCTGACTCCGCCAGATTAAATATTAGAGCCTAACACAAAGCGGAGCAGCGGCGACGCACTGGCGCCTACAAACCTAATAGGGATATTTCACGCATTGCGCAATGCGTGAGGTATCCCTGTTAGGTTTGTAGGCGCCAATGCGCGTTTTGCGCTCTCTGCCCGCCCGCCGCGCCGCAGCGTGCCACGGCGTCTGAAGCAACTATTTCACACCAGAGGTATTGCCCAGTATCACAGGAAATTGAAGGTTCTCCAACATATTAAGAATGACGGGCATTCTTCAAAAGTACGAAGCTTTCCTCGCAAAATAAATCAAGATACTACGGCACAAAAAGAGAGCGGTAGTCCAAAAACTAACTAAGTCCTATAGTATCCGTATTTAGTAACGTTTAGCATAAACTTTATCGTCTGGCTGTTGCTTAATCGCCATCGGCTATAAAAGGCTATAAGAAATTGTACAGCCGGCTACAGAAGCTATTGGAAATCTTACAGCCGGCTTTAGGTCTATAGTATTTTGGAACACACATTCTACTGCCAATTTTTACCAGGGAAGGCACGAAAAGTACAATTTTAAAACATGTTATTGGCACGTTCCACTAATGGGATTGATTAAAACCTACTTATACTTTTCTTTCTCTTGTTTTTGTTGTACTCTGTTTAACAACTAACCATCAAAAAAGCCTTTCCCTACGATACAATTTCACAGTTGAAAAAGCTTCCAGTGAATGAAGGGAGTAAGTGAGATTACTGAAAAATCAAAATACCTGTAGCGGTGATTTTGAACAAATCTCATCTCAAAATACCATTTTAAATAATTTTTTTTTGCTGCAAGACCCCACGTAACTTTTCAACATTAAAATCGTCTTTCTAAAAATCACAAAAATGTTACTTATACTTACCTCCTTCATTCGCTGGAGCTTCAACCTACCCTTTGGTACACCCAATATTCATTCATAAAATGTGAAGTGTAAGTACGTATCTGTCAGTGCTTTATAGAAAGCACACATAAAGAATGTATTGAGGAATGCGACTTCAAGTATTTTTACATGCGCGTATACCGCTCTTTGAGACCTCAAAAATCAAACTTAAAAAAATAAATTTTTCGCTAAAACTACGGAAAACGGCCTTCTGGTACGCTGTAATTTTCAAAAATTTTCCGGGGGGGGACCCCCGAACCCCCCGCCTTCCTGGGGGGTATGGAATACCCCCCAGACCCCCCGGCGTGGGGGGCGCCAAAATCTGAGTTTGCACCCCCCTACGTGAAACGTAGATCCGGCCCTGTGTGCAATACATCTGGTGTGAAATAGTTGCTTCAAGCGCCGTGGCACGCTGCGGTACGGCAGGCGGGCAGCCAGCGCGAAACGCGCATTTGGCGCCTACAAACCTAACAGGGATACTTCACGCGTTGCGCAATTCGTGAAGTATCCTTGTTAGGTTTGTAGGCGCCAGTGCATCGCAGTTCCGCTTTGTGTTAGGCTTTAATATTTAATCTATCGGAGTCAGCGTTATTCAACTCATGATTTTGAAATGTTTGCACATCCTGTATGGATTATTCTCGTTTTAATTGATGAAAAAAAATATGTATTAAAGGAAAATATAACGTGTGTTTTGTAAATATTAAGGTGGTTCCGTATCAAACTTAATGATTTCCAAAGCGCTCGAATTTCTACACAATTTCTTATAGTCTTTTATAATCGATGGCGAAAAAGCAACAGCCAGGCGATAAAGAATAAAGCCCGGCGATGGGAACTATAGCCCGGCTGCATACTTTCTTATCGCTTCATATAGCCCGGCCGTATGATTTTCTCCGCATTCTACAGCCAGCTATATGATTTTCTGTAGCCTTCTTTAGCCGGCTATAAGAATTCGTATGGTATTTTGAAACGCAGCTCTTATCGCCAATTTTTACTAGGGAGGGCGGTATTTTACTTGAAAGTAAGTAACTGCACGCCATACGCTTCTACGTCTACTGATTCGTGGACTAGTGCGGCCGGAGCGCCTTCAATTTTTCACATGCACCACGCTCGTCTATAAAACACGATTATAACCGTAGTTAGGAGTTACTATTAACATAATGGAATGCGCTGCTTATGCACAGTCGTCTAGAGGGGGGGAAAAAACGCGACAAAAATTTACCAAAAAACGGGTTGCAGGGGGCAAGTCTATGGTACGTGTGGACTTAAGCTCGCAAAAATCAAAATCTTGGCTGATCCTGATTTTGGGATATCGCAATCTGAAATTTTCATTGTACATGCAAGTTTTTTACCGATTTTGATAAGCTTTTTTATTTATTCGTCCATTGAATCGGTGTTGATCGAATGATCGGTTCAAGTTTTTATTTTCCGTTCGATTCATGTAGATCGAATACATACCCTATCGTTGCATGCAGACTTCCTATCACATTATTTTTGTTAACTGAACAGTTCGCCTTCTGCTGCGTTTGCAGCAATTGTTGTCAAGCATATGTTGTGCGAGCTGATTTCAGCTAATTACATACTTGACCCTCTGAAGGCGTTTTATGTGCGCAAGTAGCGCTATCAGTCGGAGAGCGATCGAAGTAGGGATTGAGCGATTTATTCAATCTCACTTCTATTTTTCTCCAACAGGGTGCCCTACTTTCGCACATTAAACGCCTTCAAAGAGTCAAGTAGTCAAGAGTTATGAGCTGAGATCAGCATGCACAACGTATTCGCAACAACAATTGCTGCGGGCGCCCCTGAAGGCGAATTGAAACCAACCGTATAATACAAGTTGAAAAACATTTTACCTCTTCAATTCTCGCTATGGGGAACACTAATGGGGAATTGTCTTTTTTAGTCGTTTCATGGCGGATTCTCAAAAAACTTTTCAACATAAACTAAAACATGAACTAACATTTAAATGCAAAATACGATATACTGCGCTACAAAATTTTGTGTACCTACCCTTATCGGATGTGCGACACCGTAATGTGACACTCAGAAATTCTAAAGAAATATCCTAGAATCTAAAGATTAAGGAAGGACCACTTTACAAAGCGCGACTTTCAGCATTTTGACGTGTGTTAGGTACCTTGTCAAAATTTCACATTAGACACAAAACTCGCAACAAAAATAACTGAAACCATCCCCGAACTGAGATAGTCAACGTTTTTCGATGCGGAAATTTCAGCTTCTCGCTCATGAAAAATCAGAAGTCTCCCAAAGTCTAGTCACGCACTACACTTTATCGTCAGAGTCTCTGCGGTATGAAAATATGGCAACCTCAAACTCGGTGCTTCGGCTCAGCTGTTGCACGTTGTTAACACTGAACATTATCAGGTGCGGAAGGGACATAGCTCGACTAAGAAGTCTGCCAAAACTGCTGTAGTGCGCGATTTGATTTAAGTCGACTTTTGTTCCTCTGGTGAGCGGGGAATTCAAAATCCCCATAACCAATGCTGCATGTATATACATATAAAAGTTTATATCTTAGTCGGGAGATGCTGCTAGTAATTTTCGCTGCCCAAATCGTCGCCTTCTGGCCGAAGCATCACAAGAGCCATGCGACGCGACGTTCCAAAATTTCCGCGGCCGTTTTATGTTTTTTACAAAAAAGTTATTGGTTAAATCTGTTTGAAACTTTCACTGAATTTTATCGGCAGAAAGAAGAAAATTGAGTGGAATTTTCGGACAGCTTCGTTGAACGATTTTTCTGTAAAAAAATGGCAGCGGAAATGTTGAAACGTCGCATGGCGCTTGTGATACTTTGGCTGGAAGGTGACGAAATCGCGTTCTACGTGATTTCGTCAGAAAACATGTATCACAATGCTTAAATCCGTACATTGTCTGGTGGTCCATTGATCGATCGACGACCAGATTTTACTTCTCCAAAGCATTGAGGACCTAGCTACCTTCAGTGAATAAAATTAAACTCACCAATGTGTTTTGATGGAGATGCTCGCAGAAAGTGAGAAATAAGTCGACACATTTCTTCACATGATCGACCTCGGAGTTATTTTCTTGGTGGGAAGATTTTTCTTCGCCCCAAGCCTGGTTTGGCACTCGAATGTAGTCCCATTTGTTGAAGAATCGCTGTGCAAAATGTTCAAAAAAAAGGCATGAGGCTCCAAGACACTTCCCAAACCGGAATTACAATGAGAATGCTGCCGTGATAGCGAAGAGAGCAGTAAGTGTCAAATTTTCAAAATCGAGTTTCTTTCAAAATTCGTCTAACCTCTTATAGATGAAATCACTGAAATAGGTAGCTAAAACAGCAGAATGTATCTTATTTGTATCAAAACGAGACACAAGAATGCCTTAAGTGCGCAAAAAATGACGTAGTTTCAGGCAAGACAACAGTAAGTGACATTATTCCTCTAGAGAGCCAGTGAAAACAGGGCTTTCGAGTTGTAAAGTGCTGCCCTCTTCTGCCGATTTGCACTGTAATATCGCTGGTTCCTTTTTGCAAAATGCGATCCATTCGGTGTTCCCATTTTCTGCGCAAATCTCATGGTCAGCATAATTCAAATTCTTTACCTTCGCCGAGATAGGTACCAGCGAATGATCATTATTTAGAGCTCATTCATAAAACTACTTGTCAATACCTACTGAGGAACCAGGCAGGCCCGCCACAAGGGGGGGGGGATACTGGGTCCTTGGTACCGGGCCCTGGAGGGGCCCGTGACGCAGGTGACAAACCACTACGAATTCATGTGTAACCCTTGTCTCGTAGGGAAAAGTGAAAAAATTATCCTAAAAATTCCGCAGAAGGTGAATAAAGTTTCAAAAACACGCTAGGGCACTATAAAATTTTTCTTACTTTTTTAGAGATTTTCAAGATTTTGAGTATATGTAGAATGATATCTTTAGTAACTGTGTTTCATTTTCTTCCGTTGTCGGGTGCTAAGAGGCTCCTCTCTGGGCATCCTCGACTTCAATGGCTTAACTCCCTTGCCACAGACGTACGAAAGGGGAGTCCAGGGGGGGCCGGCTCCCCATAGAATTGAAAAAAAAATTATAGATGTTTTGAATGCAACAATTCGAAAGTTTTTGGTGCTGAAAGTAAACAAAAAGGCGTAATTATTCTGCAGAAATTGATGGAAACTCTCCATCATAAGAGCTTCATAATGCGTCCAAATAGATTTAAAATTCCAAAAATTTTCCGGGAGAGGCCCCCCGTGTAACGGGGAAATTTTTCCCCCGTTTTAAGTTTAAGCTAATGTGAATTAAAAAAAAATTGAAACAATACAGTCGCGAACGCGCACGCTTGGCATCGCCGCGCCTGCGCCGACGAACCAAGGAAGAAATCAGCTGACGCTCGGCGTCCGTCCGAGCACCGCGACGCGCCAATAGGGAGCGCTGCGGCAATTCTGTCAATTTTGAAATATTTTTCATTAATTTAAAATTTTAAAAAAAATTGTATTTTAATTTTAACTCTACAGATTGATAAAAGAAGTCGAGGCAAAGCCAACGATGTAAATTTTATATTTTTTTTTATATATTGTATGCTCACAAAATGGAACGGAACTCGAAAACTTGCTTTTTTTTTGAAATTTGTAAATTGGTGGCCTCCCGACCAGACCCATCAATCGGGGGGGACGTTCCGATCCAGCAGACTGTTAAAGTGAGTTATCTAGTACGTCGATCGAGGTGCGGCGAGGTGAGCCTGCATTTCTCCTCCTACTTTGCGATCCTGGCTTGTTATGCCTGCGGTTGGAGCAAATAGGCGGTACGGTGAATAAAGCTTTACCGAAGATTTGCTCCAGCTTTGGACCTCTTGGGGTTTCGGCTGCGTGAGACGTGGTGCCCGAGCTGAGGTGCATTACCCCTGCAAACGTGATCCAAGAGTAGCGGCCTTTCCTCGGTGGAAAGCGCGGAGCGAGGTGCGCGAGTTGAGCTGCATCTCTCTGCGAGTTTTACTGAGAAAAGTAGTAGAATTTAGATTTGGTTGGTCTTAGAGATGTATTTTAATTTACCTTCCGAACCATTTTCCCTCGAGTTTCGATCAGAGTATCCGTAGAATTTTAAGAATGAATTATATGTGTACGTGGAAATTATTGATAAATCTCAATTTAAATAAATACTTGTAAGTTGGAAAACACGCTTTCAACCTTTAACGCAAGTAGTGAAGTAGTGGTGCGCGAGCTGAGCAGCATCAGACGGAACTCTGCTAAATTCCCTTTCCAGTTAAAATTTTCTCTCTCTCAATTTCGATTTCACTCGTTATTATTTTTTCTATGGCGCCCGAATCCAGGCATCCCACTGAAGTTATCCGGCACCTCAAGTAACGTTGGCATATCTTATACCAGAGGACGTATGTGCCTCTGATGTCCTGGACCTGCTTCGCAGAGAAGGGGGATTTGCCTCGTTACAAAGTGGCAGCCCGCGAACTGGGACTTTTCTTTTTCAAAAATTTGTTTTGAGATTATTTTCCACACAAAATATTAAATTTTTTATTTCAATAAATTCAGCAAATGAGCATTTAGAAATTCTGACCGAAATTCGATGATGTTTATGTTTCTTATCTGTATTACTTTTGAACATGTTTTATTTCACAAACAATTTTTAAGGTATTGAAGTTGTGAAAAATTGAATCAGCAGATTTCAATTTTTTTGAAAGGTACTCGTTGCCAAATTTAATTGAATTTTTTTTAAATTTTTTTTTGAGAATTCGTGGATTGCACGTTTCAACCGGTTCTTTTCCAAGTGTTGATTATTTTATTCTGCAAAATGGATACCGAACGTAAAGAGTGTTAACACACATTTTATTAAACTTTTGTGATTTTAGATTTGTTTTGTTTTAGTACTTGGACCGAAATTTGATTAAATACAGTCATTTTATTATTAGGCAACTTGTTTGTACATGTTCCAAATACTTTTAAGGATTTTTCTGTGTGAAGTAGCGCAATGATAGCTGCTAACGAATTTAAGGTTGATTTTTGTTCTAATGTTTTAAACGTCTATTATTTTATTTTTAAAAAAATATCAGTCCACGTGAAAGAAATTATTTTGAAATTAAAAGTATTTTTTTGGAGTTTAAAGTTTTCTAACTTATGTTCCTTGAGTGAAATTTCTATGTATAGCTTTAGAGCATTATTTTGACTTAGCAAATATGTTTTTAAATTTAACTCTTGTATTGAGTTCGTTTTAAAGTTTAAGGGTTCTTATGAGAAGATCTAGAAATTTTTCCAGGAGGCTTTTTTTTTATTTTGCCAGTGTTGTCAATTCTTTTCTCCTCTCTATGCTTTATGTCTTTGAAATTGTCACCACGTTTTGAAGGATTTTTTCGTATGTCGTGCGATTTGGTAGGTTTCATTTATTTTTGTTGTTGGGAGAGCAATTTTTTTTTGTGTGTGTCGAACTGGTGCGATTGAGTTTGGCGAAAATTGTTATGCCATGCGCCAGCGGCCATTCTTGGTTGCAGATCCAACGTAGAAATGAACCTCAAATTTTTAAATTCGCAAATTTTGAAATGACATTTACGGATATTTTTGAAATAGTTTCTTTTAAGTCCGTACCATTCTGTTCTTTATATTTGATTTTAGTCTGAGAAATAATTATCCTGGATAGTAAGTTCTGGATGGATTTCAGTAGGGTTTAGGGTTTACCTACAAAGTCTTAGAATGTTGTCCTCGGTGAAGGTTTATTTGGAACTACCGCTTTGTGGAATCTTCAATGACCCTGACAAATCTGAGAAGTTGATTGTGGTACTTTGGTTCGGTGGATTCTGACAAAGTTACTAAGCAATGGGAAATTCCCGTTGTAATTCCAGTGTCTCAACTCAGTTTTGTAGTTTGGGAGTCCGATTTTTTGTGTGGACTTAAGAATTGGCCACCTTGAGGATTGCTAGGTTCATGGATTTGACTAGCCAAGAGGGTGTTGTCCAATCTCCCGTATTTGAGGACTCTGCAAACAGGTTTTCGAGTTGAGCAATGTTTGGTTGCTGCGAAGTATTTGCGAAACCCCAATCACCAAGATTTGTTGTTTACATGGTTCATAGAGATTCGTTCTCACAAATGAAGCCGGACACATGAAAGACTAAAACCATTTAGAATAAACTATTTCAGTAAGGATTAAGTACTTTAAGTCATCATTTAAAACTCCGACCAGCTGTTGAGTTTCTAAATTATGTAACAATCCATTTTCTTCGATTTTTATGCTAATGAACTGCTCTCTTTTATGTTTCACAGAATGTTTTGAAACTTCCCTCCTAGAAAAATTGTCTAGCCCGAATTTTTTTTCCTAATTATTTTATTTATATTTTAATTCCCGAAAAAGGTCAGGTAGATTCTAGATTCCTTTTGCATTGTTTTAGGTTTGCCCTAAAATTAGTTGTTAAACCCAAATATGGTTATGTATTGTACATTTTTAAGCTTTCATTCAGCAGTAAGTTGCTGCCTCATGTGTAATCATCCATTTTCCAGCTCTTTTCCCGATTTCCGAAGGGGAGGAGATCTGTAACGGGGAAATTTTTCCCCCGTTTTAAGTTTAAGCTAATGTGAATTAAAAAAAAATTGAAACAATACAGTCGCGAACGCGCACGCTTGGCATCGCCGCGCCTGCGCCGACGAACCAAGGAAGAAATCAGCTGACGCTCGGCGTCCGTCCGAGCACCGCGACGCGCCAATAGGGAGCGCTGCGGCAATTCTGTCAATTTTGAAATATTTTTCATTAATTTAAAATTTTAAAAAAAATTGTATTTTAATTTTAACTCTACAGATTGATAAAAGAAGTCGAGGCAAAGCCAACGATGTAAATTTTATATTTTTTTTTATATATTGTATGCTCACAAAATGGAACGGAACTCGAAAACTTGCTTTTTTTTTGAAATTTGTAAATTGGTGGCCTCCCGACCAGACCCATCAATCGGGGGGGACGTTCCGATCCAGCAGACTGTTAAAGTGAGTTATCTAGTACGTCGATCGAGGTGCGGCGAGGTGAGCCTGCATTTCTCCTCCTACTTTGCGATCCTGGCTTGTTATGCCTGCGGTTGGAGCAAATAGGCGGTACGGTGAATAAAGCTTTACCGAAGATTTGCTCCAGCTTTGGACCTCTTGGGGTTTCGGTTGCGTGAGACGTGGTGCCCGAGCTGAGGTGCATTACCCCTGCAAACGTGATCCAAGAGTAGCGGCCTTTCCTCGGTGGAAAGCGCGGAGCGAGGTGCGCGAGTTGAGCTGCATCTCTCTGCGAGTTTTACTGAGAAAAGTAGTAGAATTTAGATTTGGTTGGTCTTAGAGATGTATTTTAATTTACCTTCCGAACCATTTTCCCTCGAGTTTCGATCAGAGTATCCGTAGAATTTTAAGAATGAATTATATGTGTACGTGGAAATTATTGATAAATCTCAATTTAAATAAATACTTGTAAGTTGGAAAACACGCTTTCAACCTTTAACGCAAGTAGTGAAGTAGTGGTGCGCGAGCTGAGCAGCATCAGACGGAACTCTGCTAAATTCCCTTTCCAGTTAAAATTTTCTCTCTCTCAATTTCGATTTCACTCTTTAATATTTTTTCTATGGCGCCCGAATCCAGGCATCCCACTGAAGTTATCCGGCACCTCAAGTAACGTTGGCATATCTTATACCAGAGGACGTATGTGCCTCTGATGTCCTGGACCTGCTTCGCAGAGAAGGGGGATTTGCCTCGTTACACCCCGGACCCCCCCCCCCCTTGTGCTAGGGGCCCGGGCCAGAAAATTGGTACCAGGGCCCGAGATGGTATGTGGCGGGCCTGGAACCAGGTGAATATCGACGGTGAAACTACCAAACCACGTATCTCGTTTGCGGCGTTTAAAAATCAATGCTCACATTTTACTGTTTTGTAGTAGACCAAATCAATATCATTCCTTGAAATTTTTACAGAATTTTCTACGCACGAAGAGGAAAAATCACTGAAATTTTCAAGACTGGACGTTAAGTAGTTTTTCATTTAAAAAATAAAGTATGACAGGAAGTCTGCGACGTCGCAAACCGAGATACGTGGTTTGATAGTTTCACCGTCGATATGTTATTTCTACAAACAGGCATAAGTAATTAAATATATTCGTTTCTCATCGCAAAATGTAATCCAGTTCTAAGGCCGCTTTATTTGTGGCGCTAGGTATATTTTTCAATGATCAGACCTCATGTTAATAATTTTTATTTTTTATTTTTGAAGGGAAAAGAGACGTAACTGAAGACAAACCTGATGGATATAGTCAACCGAGACAAGTATTTTCGTTTTAAGTTGCACACCTTCATTTTCTTCGAGATTCACATATATCCCCAAGTGTTTCAGCAGTGTGCTTTCAGGTCCCTAAAAGCAGAATATCTTTCATTATTTTGGGTGGAAGAGAGCTTTATGTAATTCAGAGCTCATTTGCAACGAGTCCATCCTGAATCCTGATACGACTGTTTTCTTTGATACACGTGGTAACTGAATTCTGAAAACCTCTCTTACTAAAATGAAAGAAAATTTTGAAAAAAAGCGCTACACCTTACAATTCCGAGAAGAATCTTAGTTTAGAGTAGATCTGGAGAGCTTAGGATTTTACGTTCCACCTTTTTCAAAAAAGCCGCTCTTTAAAATTTAGATTTCTGCTCTTTTCATCCTGTTAAAACTTACATTCGTCTTATCTCAGTAAAGCGATTCAAATAGGGCACAGTAAGCACTGAGCAATCTTTCCGCAGTTAATATATTTTAATTTTAATATTTATGAAGACCAGCGCCAAAATAATGAAAGAAAAGAGAATCAACAAAAAGAACGGAGTCGAAGATTGCAGCAAGGGCAGGCCTTAAAACCTCATTCGGAATCGTAACTATTTCAATTCAACGACTACCCTCATGCGCCATCCGCGAAAACGCCTTCAATTGCGGATGATACGCCACGCAACACCGTGCAGCTAGTTTAGATGCATGACCCAACGTAACCCAACTTGTATCGTAAAACCGACTTGTTCACCTGTCTTCACCACGCACGACGATGAAACTGCCAAAGCGGGTTTTTTGATTTGCGATGCTGAAAATTCTCTGTCATATTTCATTTTTTAAATGGATTATTATAATTCCTGAAAGCTGCCGTGATTTTTCTTCTCTAAATCGATGACAATTCTCTGAAAACTTCGAGGAATGAAGTTGATTTTTTCTCCTTTAGAAAAATGAGCCATGCGGAGACTTTAAAACACACCGCCAAATAGATACCTGCTTTGGAAAATTTCCTGTTCTAAAGTAACATTTTTCAACAGAAAATTTACGGCTGATTAAAACGAAAGCGGGTGCTTTTATTCTAAGCTTCTAAGACTAAAGACCAAGACTAGGACTTCCAAGACTAGGACTCTAAACTTCTGAGAATCATTGAAATTTTGCCATTTTCGTCGAATTTCTCTTATTGATAAAAATGCTAACATGTCGGTTTTGAATTTTTTCATCGAAAATATTAAAATTAGATTGATAGCAACTTAAGGTCATTATGTCAATAAGTATAACGCGCATTTTGATTTTGATGAGGATTACAATGTATTACTGTTGATAAACCGCAATCATCTGCCGAATAAATCGTAATAACCCATCACGCTCATTGCTGCATATGAGCAGCCGAGCTTTTCACGACTCATTTTTTTTCTATTTTCTTTCTATTCTATATTGATGGACAACGAAATCCTGACTCTCAGATTGCGACATTTGCAGATTTCACAGCAGCTCTTACTTTGATTAAAACCGACTTACCGACTCATCGTCGGGGCTGAATTTTTTTATTCAATTTATTTTTTGAACTGACAAGAATAATTTTTGGAAATTCCGCCCGAAGATAATGTCGAGTTAACTTATTCTTACTTAAATGTGAGGTCAGAGAATAAATTCTGAAACACCGCAATCAAAATTTTCGTTCTTCTATAGTAGATTTAATGTTACTCAACTTTCCTCGATTTAAAAGCGGTTGAGGCGAAAATGATTACCTAAAATAGGTGTGATTGATCCTTTGTAGGTAGATGCGGTATCACGTGAAAAGGAAGGAAAATCTTAGCTTTTCACCTCACTCAACTTACTGATGCCTATGATGAATGGATGCAGACATTGTGCGCGGATTGTTAAATGCCAAATGAAATCAAACGCTGAAGTTGAAGCTGATCGCCTGATTAGCGGCTCAACTAATCGAATTTCGGAGAAGGAATGTGATATGGTATCATGCGGAAATGAAGGAAAATCTTAGCTCGCATAGTTGAATGCGAAAATTAAGCGTGCAACCAGAGCAACCATTCGGTTGATCGTGCTGCCTAATTCTACTGCTGATTTTAAGCATGACATTTAAATAGAAATGAACAGGGAGGTAAGAAGAATTTTTCACGCTCGGCTTCGATTTAGAAAGCAAATTAAAATGTACAACATGATTATTAGCTCAAAATTTTAACCGATGATTGGCCGGAACTTCACATAACTACAGAGTAAAAGTTTGTCTTATAAAGTTGGCGTTGTGTTCGCCTCCCCTCCCATTGTCCGGGCCTTCCTTCTCTGTGGTTTCCCTCTAGAGTCCCTTTATTCCCAGAGTTAAGACAACTCACTTTTGGTTGGGCTGAAAGTGGCCTAAAAAAAAATCCAATTCTGATTGGTTCTCGCTCATGGAGGCCGAAACGAGTGCACCAAGATGGCGGTACCTCGAATGTGAACAAGAATAATGAAAATATTACCTAATTGTGGTTTATCAAGAGTGAATTGTCATTTCCATCGGTCCAAAATGAAAATAGATTAAGAAATTATTCACAAACCAATCTCATTTTCTTTTTAATTGATCAATTTGTTGATGTTGTTGTTTTTGTGTGACAGACATCGCAGGATTCCTGATCCTTATCCCTCAATATCGTTCGTTTGGGTGCACTCGTTTCGGCCTCCATGGCCAGAGCCAGACAAGGCCGGCTGCCAGTCAGCTGATAATCGAGTTGTCTTAACTCTGGGTATAAAGGGACTCTAGTTTCCCTCCATTCAACAGTTTGTTTACATCTCTTATCAAACCGGTCAAAGCACTCGGTGATTGCTCTGTGTCATCATTAATCTTCAAGTTAATTTCACAGTAAATCTTTTCTTTATCTTATTTACGTAGACGCATCCGCTCTTTAACTCAGTTCTTCAGATGTGTGCTCAAAATCAATCACTAGTCTGCTTTAACGAGAAAAAGTTCGAAACCTTCTTTTTCGTGTCACAAGCCAGACCAAGTGCTTCAGCAATTTTGTCTCGTCCTGTCTGGAAGTTGTGAAGCTGTAGGTTTTGCATCCGTTTGAATACTTTATTTCCTCTTCTAATGTCAGAATAAACTCATACCTAATCATCACAACTTTGGGCTGTAATATGATTCTGGGTTTGTTTGTGATGGAGGCCTCTTAGCAATTACTTGGCAAGATGACCACCTATTTATTTTCTATAAATTTTATCTCACACTATCTCAGAATGTTTTTTATGGGCAGCGCAATGCAGCTGAAGCATGTGTCTCCTCGTAGTTAAAATCGATGCCTATAAGGTAGAATATTGATGGTGAAACTACCAGACTTCACATCTCGGTATGCGATGTTGTAGATTTCCTGTCATACTTTATTTTTAAAATTGAAAACTACGCAATGTCAATTCTTCAAAACTTTTGTGTTTGTTCTCCTCTGTGTGAAGAAAACTCTGTGAAAATTTCAAGAAATGATGATGATTCGTTCTTCCTTTAAAAAAGCAAATGGGAGCGGAGATTTTTAGACTACGCAAACGAGATACATGGTTCGGTAGATTCACCGTGGATATGCCCTCTTACCGAGCGTTTCTTTCAACAATTTGAAAGTTTGCAGCACCAACTTCATTCATTTGCTCTTATGTGTCTCTTTAGTTCCAGCGCCAAAGAGTCTTTCACAGTTGAATAGGACAACACATCCTAAATTCACTACCATATAAGTTAGGCCAATGAAGCAAGATTAATTGCTTTAAAGTCGTCCATGGATGCTGATCAAAAGTCATCATTGCACCAACTTTCTACAGGACACCGTTTTTGTACAAAATTGGCGGAAAATGTTCAATAATTCCTTGCATAAATGAAGGTAATGCAGTACTCAACAATGGTCGGGGTCGGTTAGGGAAGTGTAAATCATGTGAACAGGAAAACTGATAGCATCAGAGTGACAGTCTTACTTTGGATTCCGAACGCCTTTTCTTTTCACCATCCAAATCAGTATCTTTCTCTCCCACTCTATAGTCCTTACCAGAAACGCACTGCTTTTTTATTTTAGCCGCCCTGTCCTGGAAATTACCAAAATTTCATTAACACATTGTGCAAAAACAGTGTCTCGTAGAAAGTTGGCGCAGCGATGACTTTGGATCAGCATCCATAGACGAATTTAAAAAAACGAAAAATTGGTTGTGGCACACATCCCCATGAGGAGTGTGTGGGATCCTTTTGTTGTGGGAGAAAATGAAAACTCCTTTTCGAAATTCTTTGCACCTACCCATGGATTGCCCGATCAACAGACGATCACTCTTTTAGGACGCTCAGTATTCCTTTATCAATAGCTAATGTCGCTTTTTTAATGACAGAATGATCATAGTAGGCCCGATTTAGAGAGTATGCCATGTGAGCAAAGGCACATCAAAGAGAGGTATTCCGAAGCAATTTGACGGTGTAAGTCGGCAATCACATAACTCGTTTGCGGTGTCTGAAAATCTCTGCCTCCATGTTATTTTTTTACAGGAGAACAAATTGACATCATTCCTTGAAGTTTTTGCAGAATTTTCTTCGCACCGAGAAGAAAAATCACGGCAGTTTTAAAGAGTTGCCGTTGAGTAGTTTCCTGTAAAAAAATAAAGCATGACAGGAAGTCTGCGACATTGCAAACCGAGTTATGTGATTGCCGACTCACACCGTCGAATTATGTTTGCACCTAGGTCCTGTTGTTTATAGCTTTATCTCTAAATAGGGTACACAAACAACTATGTAATAGTAGATCAAACTTGATCAAGGCAAATTTAGGTTATTAAAGAATTTCTAAGAGGAAATTGGCAAGAGTATTAATGTTTTTCTCAATTTTTCTTTCAGGTTACTTGCAGTGTCCGTGGCAAATACGATTATTCATCAACGTTCATACTATTCAAGCTGTGGACTCTCATCAGTGGATCAGTCAAAGACACTGTCATAGCCTTTTTGGAATGCGTTATGAATAATTTAAAGCTGAAAAGGTAGAGTATATTTGGAAAGAATCCTAGTTGAGAATGACGCATACTGGAGTTTTACGTACATGAAAATTATCTAAAATGATTTGTCATAAAGTTTCTCTCTATGACTCAGACAGGATGATGAGAGAACTCCAAGGCAAAACCTGTCTAACTATGATTTGAGCAGAGGGGCTTTAAGGTCGCAGCAGTGTAGAGAGACTTCACCACTACTTATTGACCCAAATCTTTTTCATAGTTTGCTATCAGCTTAACAATAGTATGCATCATTCTCTAAGGTTTGAAGACAATCAGCTGATAATTGGCTGATTATTCAAATTGATTTACAAAAAGGGAAAATGGAGCCATCCTATTGGCGGAAGCAGGTGATTGCTGGATTTTTTTTTTTTTTAGTTTTTTTCTCTCTTTTTGCAATCACAAGTTTAAATATCGGCCAGGGAAGCGGTCTGCAGTTTTTAGTTATATTTGACAGCTTTATTCCGACTAGCTTTCATGTATCTTGTGCCTTTCGTTTTGGTGTATAGCTATTTTAAACTGTGTTTATTTTATTATTTTTTTTTATGCGTGAGATCCTAACTCAGCCAGTTTGAATCTGAATCATGACACCTGTAAACTTTGAGTATTTAAGCCCGAAGGTAGGACCAATCTTGGCCCTTAATAACACATCTCCTTGTTTTCAGATAGCTACGTCCAGTAAAACTCTTTTTAAAAAAGATGAAGAAGTAGGGACACCTTGAAACATTGCAATTTCCCATAGTTTCACTGTCAATGTATAGAACTGAAACAAAATTTTTTCAACCACTTGAAAAAGACTCCATTTGCCTTATGAAGGATTTCATTACTTATAAACATCTTGTCAACAACCATTTTATAGAAGCTTAATTTTAGTCTGGTATTAACTTTCTGTGTTAAAAGATTTTGGACATGACAGTATCAGGTATTCAATCCTAACTGGCATCATCTGATCTACATCAACCACTACTTAATTTGCTCTAATATTTTATTCTTTTGAACCGAAAATCAAGCAACAATGAAACTTTAAATTTCATAAATATATTATTCATATTCCAGTGTAAATTTACAACGAGTTTAAAAGGCTTTAAGTGGTTAAATGCTGTCCTAAAACAATAAAACTTGATAGAAATTTAGGAAGCGTGACATTCAGTTAGGCTGATCATTGAACACAGAAAGAGTAATCAGTAATCCAAGGTTTCTACAAGTCATTCAACACTAGGAATGCCATACAATATTGTCAAAACATAATTTTAACCCTATATCTGGAGAATAATCGTTTGAAAATTGTATGTAGCACAATCACCTAATTTTGTAAGCTACAGGCAGGGCCGGATTTACCTATAGGGCACTGGGGCACTTGCCCATAGCGGCAAATTTTGAGGGGCGGCAAATTCTGGCACTGGATTAATTGAAATTTAAAGCGAGAAAAAAGGAAAAAATGGAGACAGAGACGGAGCGAAGTGAAAAGATGAGCGGCAAAATGTATGAAGGAAGGGAGTTGACGCTTGACGGGAGCGGCAAAGCTGCCGCCCCTTAGGTCCGGCCTTGAGCGTTAGGATGATCGTTCGTTGGAGTGATCATGGGTGGCGGTAGCCACCTCCGGACAAAGTCTAAACTCGACAACACTGGAAAGCCTCCAAACGAAAAAAGGTGGCAGCCAACCATAGACACACGTAACTCCCTTATTCTGAATACTAAACAACACGGCAATTTTAAACATCGAGGCAGACTTGATAATCAATTTAGACGTTGATGCTCTGGTTGACAGCTTTGCTAAACTAAAAACCCGGAGAAAAACTTTTTAACCTGATCTTCCGAAAATACATTGCAACTAATACATTGAGCTAAGCTTCAACTTTTTCTCCACATTTTATTTTTGTCTCATCCATCCATTCCATTTTATATATTCGCGGCGCATTTTGAAGCAGCTACGCGCACGCGCCCAGGCGGCGCATGAGTGGGGGGGGGCAGGATGAGATGGCGTGGGAAGTTGGGAGTGCGGAGAGGGGGAGGGGGAGGAGGGGATACTGTTGACAATATAGTGGCGAAATATTGCAGACCCAGGGGCGGCAAAATGTAGCTTGCCCAGGGGCGGCTAAAAGCTAAATCCGGCCCTGGCTACAGGGTGATGTGATTTGTGACAATATGCATGACTTTTCCAAGTGTGATATTTTTAATTTAAGTATCCATCAACCAAGTAACCATCATCCAATCTTAAATTCAACTTGCTGTAGTCCCAATATTTTTTTTTTTGCTTCGCAGGTTAGCGGCTAACCAATGGATACAAAAATCTTCACTCACTCAGTTTCATCCCAAGGTATGTTACTCTCATATTTCTGAAAACCCAAAAAGTCGCCTCACTGCCTCTCTGCATGGTAGTAATATTTATAAACACCAGTCAAATTGTTCTTGTGCTCATTCAGTTTTTAGCAATAGATTTTGCATGATCACAACATTCTTGAATTGTTCACAATTGCACCAATTGCACACTACGTCACAGTACAATATGCCACCGTTTATTTCGCGCCGTGTCTATATCCAGTGGCACCCTTCGGACATGCCACCCTCGGCACCATCGGAGCCAACATCTACTCTGGTTCTCAGTGACACCTCCGCGCCAGAGGGAACAGGCCGATTTGTTGATGTTCGAATCCATCAGCATGCCCTCGCTAAACCGAACAACAACATCCTATCCGCAGCTGATATTGATTGGGCCATTGCTGGGGTTTGCACTTCAACACCCCTTAATCCAGAACATCAAGAAAATAAAGAAGTTGTGTACACTCGCAAAGCATCGTTTTTGCACGAGATCGATTCGCGCGGCAGTGACTATACTGATGAAGGGCTTATGTGTCCAACAACTGATGGTTCGGGTGATGAGCTGGAACATGCTGTCATTTTCAACCCTGAGGAAGGGGTTTTGATGGCTTGTGAGGAACGTTGGACAGATTCAGACGCAGATCTGCTTCCTGGGCGCAACAGGAAGGAGTGCATTATTATGAGGATTCGGCGGACGACGGTTAACGCACACAAAGGCCAGCTCCTTTTACTCGGAACGCACATGCAGGCAATCGTCGCTGGGAACTCCGGGGAACTACATCTGCAGCGGTGGGAGTATAAAACGAATGATGTGGGTAGATGGGAACTCATTGCATCATTGGGGGCTGAGGGCATCATTCCGAACCCAGATCACATCTTGGCAGGAGAAGATTTAAAAGTCAACGGTCTTGTATGGGAAGTTATTAAAAAGATTGAATGGTAACACAGCAACTGTGATTTAACTCCTCACCATTTAATATAATGATCAAAGTGATGAAAGAACTAAAAAGTGTCAGTTTCACTATCTGTTTTTCTTCATTTTCGTTCATAGTCTTTAATAAAAAAAATCAACATATTAATTGAAATTTAAGTGGAATAAGTTCAATAAAAATAATTGCAATTCTCTGGTCATTTAATAACTGTTGGTTAACCAACACAAAATCTTAGACATCTTGACTTGCTTCTTGACTGATTTGTGCCTGGAAAATCTCTCATTCAATAATTTGATGGAATATATTAAAGTAAAAATGTGAGGGGGTAGCATAGAACTTAACAAACGTATCAAATTAAAATATTCGATCTTACAAGGTTCCAATCTTTCGTTTTTATTGAGAATAGTGGTTGATGAAGTATTCTGTCAACCATACCGTAGATCCTAGATTATTCTAAATAATGAGGCAATTGTCCAGCTTGGAGATTAAGAAATTGGATTGTCTTTAGTTAATTCGTCAGGACTCATTACAAACTAAAAATTTCCCCTGCAAAGTAAAGTTGATGTTACTCAGAAATTGAGACTGTTGTTGACTCGATACAGCAATCAGTCGTGATACAGCGCCCGTTGCAAAGTTTATACAAGGTGTCCCAGACCACCTGTGCCAGGCTTGGTTCCCGTCAAAACAAGTTTTTCGCAGCACAAAAACGCCGCTCGAAGATGACCTTCCTACTTTCTCCCAATAACAAATCATCTTTTAGGAAAGTTAGGAATGTATATCCTGAAATTTTTGCAATTAATAGGTTTAAATTGCGCTAAACATTCCCTAAAAATTTTAAAAATTAGAGTTGGAAATTCTCGCTTAACAGGAATAAATTTGGCAACGCACAAGACTTCATACGACGTTTTCCCTTTACGCCTCTGTAGTGATATATGATCGTAAGACCATGATTTCAGGTTTAACGTCATGATACAATTATTCGTGCTGTGTGGACATCCGTGTTGCGTGCTAAAAATTGAAGGCGCCCCGGTTATTCTAGCCCCTAAAGCGGTGCTTGCAGGGATACGCTGTCACGACTCGGCATGGCGGTGGGATGTTGTATCAGGGTTGCCACAGTCAGAGAATAACGGGAAAGGTCAGAGAATTTCAAAAAGTCAGGGAAAACCTGGAAATTACAGGGAAAATGACGAAAATATCAGGGTGAAACAGTTAAGCCACCCATATTTGCTCTCCAAAATGGGTTTAACATTTCGAACAACAAATTCCGCCCAAAAACTATTTAAAATTATGTCTTTTTAACCATTTGGCTTATCATCAACTGTCAGGAAACGGAAATGTCCGAGAAATTCACTATCTTAATTCTGTGGGAATCCTGAATATCCCAGTACGTGAAAATGGTGCGAAAATATCCTTCCTTGCTCTGTTGTCTTAGTTTCTATCCGAGAATTACGGCATTCGTAACTGCGCGCCACACGCTGTTGCATCTGCGTCCACCGCTTCATGGACGAGAGTAGCCGGAGCGCCTTCCATTTTTTCACAAGCAACACGCGTGTCCATAGAGTGCGAATAGTTGTATCAGTGCAAGGCGTCATTATCAAAATCATTGAATGCGTTGCTTACGTTGACTGAGATATTAACACTGGAAGTCCCGCACCGTCTCATTCTACACGATTCTCGTTCAAAGTATCAATATTTTGAAGTTGTTCAGTTTAGCAACAACTTCAATCGATCTTTTTTGTTATATTGGGACACAATCACATCAGTTGATGCTACCCGGAGATTATGTTGACACTACGATCTAGCGGTCAGACGTGATACAGCTTTGCGACGTTTATAAAGGGTGTCCCAGTACTCGTGCCAGGCTTTTTTCTCGTTTATTTTAGATCGAATGGTGTTCGCGTCTGGGGAATAAAGTAAGGAATGGACCGCACGAATCATTCTTCAAAGGTCCTCAGTCCTCTTTGAGGTCGGCATTAGCCGACCTGAAATAAGCGAGAAAACTGCCTGATAAGGGGGTGGTCTGGGACACCTTGTATAATTTTGCAACTCTGTATCTCGACTGATCCCTAGATCGTAGTGTCAACACCAGTCTCGATTTCCGAGTAGGAGCCCAAATGGACTTTTATTGAAAGATTCCGATTTTCCGGACAACCGGTACTCTCTCTTTAAAACCAAAAACAAAAGGCCCACATACGCAGGAACTTTGAAAAATCGTGACTAGGACTAAAAAATGGACCACTAGATAAGGTACGAATTTCAGCATTCTGATACATGTTTCTTAACCAAAATGTTACGTAAAACACGATGCACACAACGAAAATTACCGAAATTAACTCCTTACGAAGATATTTAATGATTCTTAATGCGTGAATTCAAACCACCCGCTCACGAAAACTCAATGCTCTACGTGATTCACATCGCGCGCTAAACGTTATCATGACAGTCTTTGCGACATAAAAATCTGGCAACCTCAATCTTGACGCTTTGGCTCAGTTATAGCAAATTGCTAATAGTTTGAACAAGACATGATGGGAAATGAACATTGCTCGATTGAGAAGCTTGCTGAAACCGTTGTAGTGGGCAATTTGACTCACGTAGAGTTTTGAGTTTCTTGTGAGCGGGCAGTTCAAATTCCTCGTAACCAATGTGAAATAAAAACGTTAATATCTTTGTTAGGAGTTGGTTTCCGTAATTTTCGTTGTGTGAATCATTTTCTACGTGAAATTCTGATTAAGAAACATGTATCAGATCGCTTAAATTCGTACCTTGTCTAGTGGTTCATTGGGCGTCTAAGAGTCGATCTCAACATTTTTTTTCTTATGTTTTTAACTTAACTTTCGAGCGGTTGCGTCTCTAAAATGCCTCTTCATTTGGATCATGTTCAGCAGAAAGGAGCCAAGCCATATCAGCTATTGCCAAATTTAATTGGGCAATTTAATGTTTTACATGACAACGGTTGTGCGGATTTTTGTGCAAATTTCAGTGAATTTTCTGCATATTACAAAGAAAATTCCTCAAATTTTTCCAATAAATCCACTCTAACGTTCTCTTGTAAACAATGGAATTGTCCAGTCAAAGTTAGCAATAGCTGATGTGGCTTGGTTCCTCTCTGCCAAGTACGGTCCATTTATCCGTATCCGATTAGTATTCCCATACTTTTTAGCCAAAATTATTCAATAATGATGATTCGCGGAGGTTGTCTGCCGTGCTAAGGAAGAACGCCGTATGAGCCATCAGACGCTGCCAAATTTCCTTCAATAAAAACCTAAATTTTTAGGGAAATCGTTAAAAAAAATTCAATTTTTTCAGACAATTTTGTTCGTAATTTCATCTAAAACGTCTGAAAATTTCAAGGAAAAATACATATAATTTCCTTTAAAGATACATTTTTTATCCGGGGGAAATTTCGCAACTCTTTAATGTTCATACGGCGTTCTTCCTTAGTACGGCAGTTTTCAGTGGTAGATTATATAGCACCAATTGTTTAAAAATCAACAAAACGGGGGAACACGACAAAGGTAACGCATTTTACTAAAATAAATCGGGTACGACGTGTCCACTACGGTGGGAGGGGAGGAGGGATCGCAGACGGCCCGGTGCGACCGCAAATTCGAAAAATCCCGCGCCTTTCCGCCGCGCTCACCAACCAATCAGATGCAACAACATTGTCACGAACGCACCAGCACCATCTGGACGACTTTTGCCGTGAAATTACTCCGCAAAGTCTCTTGAAAAACAATTTAAAGTATACCTACTCCAAATATCATGAGGTTGGAATTCTCGTTTGGCGTGCTGTTTTAAATCGCAGAATACTGAAACGTCAAAACACTTGATCGGTGGAATGTTTCGGTCCGTCGGAATGTGGGAACCTGCAACTGCACGTGTTTACATTTTAGGTTAGGGTAATGACCTAAATCGTTTCGCTGTTACGTATTTAGGAGGAAGTAGGTAGGCGAAAAATATGTCTGTGTTTTCAACACGATCAGACAGGCGATCGCGCTCAGTGGTACTTTAGTACTTTAGTAGCGCTCGTCATTTTAACTCTCGAATTCAACGCGTTGTCTCTTTTTTTATCGTCGACCCCATCCGCATGTTGTTACAGCCAACCATCATGTAAGTTTAACGAAACTGGAAACTTTCAATGTACCTAACTACTTATCACCAATCCTCGTAGATTGGATTTTTTTTTTTTCATATTAATTTTTTCCGAACTTTTATTGAGGTTCCCGGTGCTTCAAATAATTATCTTCCATTTTTCCCAATTTTGAATATTTTCAAATCGTGGCATAGAGATTCTAAAACACCTTCTAACTCTTTTACAGTACTAACTAATTCGAGTAGTTTTCAACATGTTTGCAATTTTGCAACATCTAAAATCGTATTGGACTATCGAACGTTTTTCCAATGAAGGTTGAATTTATTCAACAATTCAACATTTCCCTCGTTTATATGTCTTAATGGAGCTAAATTTCTTGTCTTCCAAAACAAATTCGCGCTTTTTTAGTACTATTGCGTAGGTATTGTGCCACTTGGCCTCTGCGTCCCATGAGTGAACGGCATTTTACAGTTAAGAGCTGCAGTAAAATTCTGGCTCATGTTAAAAACAGCATATTTGTCGTAGTGTTCCGTATGCAGTTGCGTACTTTCATGGATGAGCCTGAAATTTTAGTTCCTAATTGCAAAATGCAGTACAATTTCATCACTGTAATTATTTTCAAGGAGATTATAATTTACTTTCAATCCCCCACCCCCTATTTTTCTGTGACAAGGTTTTACTTTCTCCGAGAGAGCTTCTTCAGAGAATCCATTCCTCACAATCAATGTTAATCGTCACTTTGAATTTTCGCAAAATATTTAAGGTGCTAAGCACTTAGCAGTAAAAAAGCACACATGAACATCATCCAGGACCGTCTCTCAGTGGAATGAGTCACTCATTAAGGTCGAACACTAAATTTTCAATTGAAACTGCACATTTCGATGTTTATTTCGTCACATTTTAAATAATAAGGGGTGTACACTAGTATACAATTTCACGAGGAAACCAGTGAAATCATTTTTGAAATCTTAATGTTCCGTATAAACGGAGTTATTAGCTTGTAAAGTTTCCAAATTTTGTCCGACCTTTCCCATTGACTGGATCCACTGTGCGTCATATGAAATAGAAACCTTAGTCCTCAGAGGTTAAATTTTCGGAAAGTGATTTTTGTGGGGAGGTCGAAAAAGATTCCGACTTTCGATTTCGAACTTCCACACAAAATGCTTTCTAGTGTCTTTGAGCACAAGTTACGAGTGGAAGTGGTTCAGTTCATTGTTTTGACTTAAAGAACGTAGTAGAGTTTCATTAAAATCCTGAAATTCAACATTCTCAATGTGGCAGATTAGAATTTTAAACAGTGTTTTTTGGAACTACTTTTTGAATTTGAAAGTGCCCATAACCCCAATTTGGGTCGATATTTTTGGGCGCCTTTGGTTCCAAAACTTTTGTAGGACATCCTTCTATGCTCTAGTATCAACTCATAGATTTCAAAGTTTCACGGTCACATTTCAGCATTTTTAAGGGGCTTTCGCTTTTCAGTGGACGTATTTATGCTAAAAAAAACTATGTGCATAGGGTATGTATGCAACATAGTGCCTTTTAGCATAAATACGTCCAAATGTCTGTTCAAAATTCGCTGCCAAGATTGTTCTCTAAAACTGCCGTCACAACTGCCTGGTAAAATTGTTGAAATTCGGTTGGTTACATTATATCCTCTCGTACTACTTATTTTTAAATCTGAATTCGATTTTTTTAAAGTATTTATCATTACTTTCGAACATATTCCATCCGCAGTGAAATATTTTAAAATATCCATTCATCAGCAGGTGGTTAGCTCTCATATAGTCATCGATAGGAAACGAAAAGCTTAAAATATGATTCCAGGATAGCTGTTGCTGTTAGTCACCTGTCATTCGTAACACTTTCTGTTTTTGATAAGCCTATTATGTCTCAAGTAGCGTCTTTGATTTGAATTCTGCCGTCGACGTGCAGCGGAAAACGCCATATTAGCAATTATATGTTGCAAACTTTCCTCTAGCATTATACTAATTTCCTAAAAAAAAATAAAAAAAATTCGAACATCTTCCCTTGAATCCCTCGAACAGAATAATCCGAAATTTAATCCAACGCATCTGAAAATCTCAAGCAATCATTCCCCTAACTTCCGCCTGAGGAAATATTTTATTAGGCGGACTTCGTCAACATTCTAATGTTCTTATGGCGTTTTGTGCTTCGCTTCTAATCTAAGTCGCCCAATTGATTTGAAGGAGCTTTCGAAATTTTTCTCATTTAAAACTTCAATTGTTCTACCGCAGACAGACTAGTATTTGTGAAGTTCTCATCAGATATTTCGGTATTCCTAGTAACATTTACTTCTGAAAAAATCTCTTGAAATTCAAAATGTGACGAAATTAACATCAAAATTTGTAGTTTTAGTCAAAAATTTCATGTCCGGCCGCTCTAATAGACTCAATCCACTGTGCGTCGATATCCTTCCTGATCAGTGTGTCAATCTCATTATCAAAAATTTTTCACGCACATAATTAAGAAGATCGGGACACATAACTAAAAATTTTAATCCCTTTGAAATTGTCGGTAATTTCTAGACCAACTCCTAAGTCCACTTGACTCCTTTTTCAAGTGGTAAAACTCAAGTGATAACACTGTTGTCGATAATTTCTTGGTTTTTTTTTTTTTTTTTTTTTTTTTTTTTTTTTTTTACGTGGCGCTACTAATGTCCAGTAGTTTGAAGGAGGGGATTTATTCAAGTGTTTAGATGTTGAGTATGCCGAGAAAGAACAAAAAGGAGATGTAATTTTCAACAATAATCTCATCATATCAGTCGGGACTGGATCACAAAGAAGTCAAGTGAATATAGAAACGCGCCTGGCAATCGCCCATTTTTTAGTTTTTTAGTTTCGTCCAAAACTATCAAATTTTTTAGTTTCGTCCAAAACTATCAAATTATGTACCGAAAATATCAGTAATTTTGAGATAAATACCCCAGACAATTGAAAATAGTGCAATAATCTCAATTCCTATGACCTGCATTTTGTTGACATAAGTTTTACCGAATTGAAAGGTAGGCCCAATTCACACGTTTCAACTTTTTATCCGACAAAAGCAGACGAAAAGTTGAATGGAAAGTTTGACTCAATCGCTGAATTAACATTGAATTTTTACGTCGCCTTAATCTGCCACAAGTTAAAAAGTTACGAAAATAATTCTCAGATTTTTAGGGCAGTGTGAAATCAGCAACTCTTGACATTAGTTAGTTTGTGTTGAAACCTATGTTAAGAAAAAAATATTGTGACTAGTGACTAGTGATTAGGGGGTTAAGTCCTCCTAAAAGTTGTTTCGTTTATTAATTTGGTTTATTCCCAAAATATAATAAATATTCACTGCGTAATTTTCAAGCGATTAGAGTTCAATTTCATTCCATATTGCATCCGAATCTATTTTTAACGCAATGTTTATAAACTCGTTTCAAGTTCAATGCATAATTAAGTAACTACTCATCTCAAATGCAATCTTTATTCAATGAGCAAGTGTGTAGATAAGCCGTGAGCTAATGCACTATGTGACGTGTTATCACATCAAAATTCTATGCAAAAAAAAGATGCACCACGCGGAATGTATGGAAATTATCTTCTCAACTTGACTTTAAAGTGTGCTATTAACATCATGCAATGGAATGTAGACGGATGGTGTAGCAGACTAGCATTTTATCAAAGATGACGACTTTGAGTAATTTTTCTCGCTAGAAAGTTGACTGTTAATTTTTCTCTGTGCGCTCTGATTTTAAAACAATTTGAAAGAAATCATGCAAAAGTCATGAAAAATATGGAGAAAATGTGTAAATTCCAGTATATTTAAGAGAGAATGAAATACGCTGAAAGTCTATGTTTTTCCTTTGGAATCTCAATGAGGAGGTTTGGATATAAGTGGTGTAATGGCGTATAAAGTTCCGTTTTTCAAGATTTTTTACATTGATATATCTGCGAATCTCTCATGAAAGAGGACCATTAGAAATACTCGGAAAATCACAAGAATGAGTCAGGAGGTTGTGTTTACATTTTTAAGCACTGTACCAACTCAAGTAGGTATCCAAGCAAGTAGCTTTGCAAACGAAATACGAGTTCCTGCAGTTTCACCGTCGATGTGTCTTTTTTCAAAACCCCTTATGTAGGTAGACTTAATTTCTAGAACCCTCGTCGAATCCGTCGCCCCTTTGACGTAAGAGCGTATCTCAATTTCCACGTGACCTTTGTTTCACATCAAAATCCATGCTATCTGGGGCTCATGCGGAAATCGAGAAGAGCGACGAATGGAGATGTTGCGTGTGTGAGGAATTTGCGATTTGACCATTGATAATCATGTAAAAATTCGCGAGAAACACGACGGTGCCACTGGTTTTCCCTGAAGTCAACTCCCAAGCTCAAAAAAAGCTCTCAAGTTGAGGCCAAAATGACCGGGGATATCCCACGCTATCCTGAGAGTCAACCTCTACATCAAGACAAACTCTCCATGCAAAGATAGGGAGCAAATACATTGACAGGGCTGTCATTTTATTTGGGGACGCTAAAACTGAAAACACGGCAACTCTGCTAATGTATTTGCTCCCTATCTTTGCATGGAGAGTTCGTCTTGATGTAGACGTGGACTCTCAGGGTAGCGTGGGATATCCCCTCCATTTTGGCCTTAACTTGAGAGCTTTTTTTGAGCTTGGGAGTTGATTTCAGAGAAAATCAGCGGGACCATCGTGTTTCTCGCGAACTTTAACAGAAGTCTAGTCAAATCGCAAATTCCTCACACATGCAATATTATATATCTCCATTGGCGGGGCAACTCTCAGAAAACAAGACACTTTTTCATGCTCGCCTCCTAAATGGAAAAATTGAAATGGCCTCGTCCGTGATAGAATTTCACCGACGGGAGGTAGGTCCGGGTCCTGGATTTGAAATGAAGCTAAGTGGTCCACTTTTGAATGTTTGGTTGTTGGCAGGCTGTGTGTGATGGTTGACGCGACCCAGCGGTTAGCCCGAGGTCTCGCCTTTGCCGTCGGTCTCCTGGTAGGTCTGAGCCTGGTCCTCATGCTCGGCTCCGATTGCGAGCCCTCCGTCTCGGCCCCGAACCAGGAGCTCGGCGCCGACCCCCGACTCCACACCTGGGGCCACGCCAAGGCCCAAAAAAGCACCAGCCGCCCCGTCGACCGCGACGCAGTCCGCGCATCGCGAAGGTACTACAACACCCCGTATACTACTCACACACTTCCGTCTTGTCTCCATCGGATGTTTCATGGGATTCGTCCCAGGGAAAAATCTCACTTGTCAAGTTGGGAAAAATATTGAGTTAATCAATATTTATCTTAGTACCGAGCAGGGGTGTAAAACACGTGGAAAGGCCCCAAAAATGTGGAAGGAGGGAACACTTCGAGGGGCCAAAAGTCGAAAATCAAAAGAAAACAGAAGAAAAATATCATCTTTTTTTAGATTGGTGGACAATTTTATGGAAAACTGATGAGAAAATTGTGGAAAGCCGGCTGACGGGCGCGTGGAAATGTGGAAGCTTGGATGATTCTGTACTCCTGGCACCAAGCAGAGTCCTTGTGGGGTCTTAAAAGCGACTCAAGAGAGAAGGAGAAGAAATTGTGCTGCTTTGTTTAACGGGGAAGAAGCCCAGAAGTTTCACTATTGCGATTCGAACTTGGGAAGAATCCCATGAAACGTCCCGTGGAGACAAGGCGTTAAAGTCACATCTCGAAAGCATACCTCTCAATGAGAAGACCAAGATGTTGACATCACGTCATAGCCGTCACGTCTTCCTTTAAAACAGAGTGACTCATTACAAGCAACTTTTTCTTTGCAGATTTATGCTGTTTGCTCTTCGGTGCTGGACCAACACCAGTTACGACCATTAGGAAGGCAAGCGAATGCGTTTCGGGTCTAGTTTCTCGCTCTTACTTCAAACAGCTTTACTCTCTTCCTCTTCTCCTCATCCTCCTCCTCCTTTTCCTCCTCCTCCTCCTCCTCCTCCTCTTTCTCCTCACATGGCACTACAGCCCTCGTAGGTTTTGGCACCCTAAACCAGTGACAATTTCAGCAAGTTGGCAACACTGATTTTCCTCCATTTAAACGTATGTAAAACAATCGATTGTTGATGAGGCAGCTCGTCTCACCTATAGTGTCGATACATTTAATGACTTTAAATGGAGTATTAACAGTGTTGCCAACGCTTTGGAATCGCCACTGCCAAAGAAAAGACTTTGGGCCTACACTTGGGCTCATCTTAGTCGTGGTTCTCTCCTTCCTCCAGACTCCTTCGCAGTGGAACTGTACTTTTTAGTAACCTCTTTGGAATTCTGTCCCATTCATCATTTTGACGTGACTAATTCATTAGACTTCTAAAGAGCATAACATGAGATTTGAAAATCTGTTGCTCGTGAGTTTTTTACCTTTGTAATGAGCATTTCTGCTTGTCAGATACATTGAACGACGGCATTGACGTAGTATCCACTTCTTTGTCTAAAATTTTACTTTCTAAAATTTCTGTCTGAAATTTTACTTTTTAAACTTTCTGTTCGAAATTTTACTTTTTAAAATTTCATTAAGTTTCGAATGTTCATCCGCAGACATTAGAATTTCAACCATCTTTATTGTCACTATTGCTCAGTATAATTTAATTGTTAAAACTTAGATCTCTCTTCTGGACAAGCAAACAATCGAATGTACCTCTTATTCAGATGTCGCTGGATTTCCTCTCGGGTTTTTTTTTTTTTTTTTTTTTTTTTTTTTCCTGCAGAAAACTTAGCAATAATTGTACTCGAAATGTTTTATGTACATTCTGTGGAATCCAGAGGAAGTTCCCGCGAAATTGTCAGGCATTGCATTGTTTAGTTCTATGGTAAAAAGAGAGAGAATAAAGTATGAGAAGCAGTTTGGCAACTCGCAATGTAGACAGGGTGATTCCAGTAAATAGTAGCGCGATAGGTACAGCAGCGATAGACAGAAAAAGACACGAAGGATATGGAGGGATTCTATTGGCGGAGGCGGGTGGTTGCAATGGATAGAGAGGGTAGATAATAGGCTAACTAACGGCAACCCACGAGAGACCTATAGTTACTCCATCATCTCCTCCCTTAGGGTACAGGAACCAACCATTTCAGCCATTAGGATCGCTCCGTACTCCCTATGTTTTCTTCGTTCATCGCTTTCTCCATCCGATGTCTATCAATCTCAACAATCAGCCCGCAGGCACAGTAGAGGCTTCAAAGAGGCTACTCGATTACCCCAAATTACACCGCTGGTTAATTAGATTGCCGGAACAGGCATGGATGAGCCTGAAGACATAAAGACGGAGTGCTCGTATCCAAAAGCACGGAAAAAAAAAGAAAAAGTGAAAAAAAAAGTGGGGAAAAAAGTGAAAAAGGGGAAAAAAGTGAAGTCATTCCGGCGCTGTGAATCCATGCGCGGGAAACGATTTGATTTGAACTTGTCCTCTTCATTTTTCCATATTTCTTCTTCTTATCTCGTTTTATTTGCCTAAAACGAACAAATAAATAAAGTTGGGGTGGTGACTTTTTATAATAAACCTATTTTGGCGCGGTAACAAGGAGGAATCTTACAGGAATCTCAGATAAAGTTAGTTTTTATGCTGCTCTAACCTATAGGAGAAGCGGCCCCGGTAAAAATTGGCGATAGGAGCTGCGTTTCAAAATACCATAGGAGTTCTTATAGCCGACTGAAGAGGGCGATAGAAAATCATATAGCTGGCTGTAGAAAGTGGAAAAAATCATACGGCCGGGCTACACGAAGCGATAAAAAATTATACAGCCGGGCTATAGTTCATATCGCCGGGCTTTACACTTTATCGCCTGGCTGTTGCTTTTTCGCCATCGGCTATAAAAGGCTATGAGAAAATGAGTAGAAATTCTTGTGCTTTGTAAATCCTTAAGTTTGTACGAAATCACCTTAATATTTACAAAACGCATATTATATTTTCCTTTACTACATATTTTTTTTCATCAATTAAAATGAAAATAATCCATACAGGGTGTGCAAACATTTCAAAGTCTTGAGTTGAAAAACGCTGACTCCGCGAGATTAAATATGAGAGCCTAACACAAAGCGGAGCGGCGGCACACCGGCGCCTGCAAACCTAACAGGGATACCTCACGCATTGCGCAATGCGTGAAGTATCCCTGTTAGGTTTGCAGGCGCGAATGCGCGTTCAGCGCTGGCTGCCCGCCCGCTGCGCCGCGCCGCGCCGCGCCGCAGCGTACCGCGGCGCTTGAAGCAACTATTTCACACCAGAGGTATTGCACAGTATCATACGAAATTGAAGGCGCTCCAACATCTTAGGAATGTCAGGCATCCTTCAAAAGAACGGAGCTTTCCTCGCTAATTAAATCAAGATACTGCTGCCCAAAAAGAGAGCGGTAGTCCAAAAACTCACTAAGTCCTAGCATCCGTAATTAGTAACGTTTAGCATACACTTTATCGCCAGGCTGTTGCTTAATCGCCATCGGCTATAAAAGGCTATAAGAAATTGTGTTGCCGGCTCTAGAAGCTATTGGAAATTTTACAGCCGGCTGTAGGTCTATGGTATTTTGGAACACAGATTCTACTGCCAATTTTTACCAGGGGGCTTCATTTTCTTCTTCTGGCTCCGTCTTTATGTCTTTAGATGAGCCTCATGGAAGACCCTAGTTGGTAAACGAAGAAGAAGCTTAGAATACATGGTCCTTGAATGTGAAATCTGTGAATAGGTACAAGGTGGCGGTGCGTGCGGTGGGTTTTGGGAGCTGGCGCGACTCCTTCGTCTACGAATCGATCCCGCGCAACGGGAACGGGCGGATGTATGACCCGGCGAACCCGCGGCGGGAGTTCGAGATCTCCTCCGGCGACGGCGTCACCCTCGAGGCGGCGGCCAACGTCAACATGGCCTGGTCCCAGTTCCAGTACGCCACCGACGTGGAGCTCCGCATCCGCTCCAGCGACGCCGCCCCCCTCGGGCCCCCCGCCAACGTCGTCATCCGCCCCTCCCGCATCCCCTACCGCATCTACTCCCCGCGCCCGGACACCATCCTCGTCTGCGTCCCCTTCGACCCCGCCGGGCGGAGGTTCTCCGTCGAGTTCCAGAACGACCTCATCCGCTATCGAACTGACGGTGTCGGCTACGTCGAGGAAGGTGGGGTCGTCGTCAGTGAAGAGCCCCGGAACGCCCTCCTCATCTTCGCCAGCCCCTTCATTTCGCCCCAACTCGTTCCCGCCAAGATGGACCCCGATGTGCAAGTCCTCAAACCCGGAAAAATCGTCGACGGCACCATCGGAACCAGGTAATAATCCTCCTTTGTCGAGCTCATACTCTAACGTCTAAAACCATCCCATGCAGCTCTTCCATGTGTCAGGAATACGTCATGTAGGTACCGAACCCTATGTAAAATTTCGCGAGAAACTCAATGGTACCACTGGTTTTTCTCTGAAACGTACTCTTAAGCTCAAAGGAGCTCTCAAAGTTAAGGCCATAATGAATGATATCAAGAGAAGTCGTTCCATCCAACCCTTACGCACGAGGTTGCTACAATAATGAGCACGGCTGACGACCCCGCGCCCAAATTGTGAGGGAGCGCCATTGTTTTTATGAACGCAAGGAAAATGTAAATCTAAACACGCCGGTTGATAAAACCCCATCTCGTCACGTGCGTTTCGGCGGGTTGGCGTCGGCCATGTTGAATGTCGCGTTGCATCCTAGTGCGTAAGGGTTGGATGGAACAACTCCTCTTACACAATGCTCTCCCGTGCCGTAGCGTCAGTTTTGAAGCGGGAGCGTAAAAAAACGCATATTTCTCATACAGATAGTGAAGTTGGGAGTGTATTTCAGAATTTTCTGACGCGCTCATCGTGATTTTTGAGCCATTTACTCTATGAAGTAACTCTCATTTTTGCTCTTGCTCAAGTTCGCAACAGGCCCATTCTTTTTCTCACGAGGCTAAGGGTTGGGTAAAATTATATGTAAGGTTAGGTTAAATTAGGTTCGGGTGCAAACAATGACGGTACGATTGCGTTTACGTAGGTCTACACTGTATTTCGAAGCCGGAGTCTACTGGGTGGAGGACAGCAACGGTGTCCTCGGGAAGAGTCACATCAAACTTCACCCGAACACCAACTTGGTCTACTTCGAGCCGGGGACCTACATCAAGGGGGCGCTCGAGTACACGACCGCCAAAGACTTCTTCACCGTCGGCCACGGCGTTCTCTCCGGCGAGAACTACGCCTACCAGGCCAACACGCTCCAAGGCTACGTTTCCAGCAAGGATGACAAGTCCAGTCTCAGACTAATCTCCCACCAGGTAACGTCACAGAACCAGTACGGCACGGAAAAAGCAACTTAGCGCTGAGCCTTAACACTTCAGAGGCAGTAAGGCTGCGGGTTCATCGTTGAAATCGTCAGACGAAGCTATAGACAAAGAAGACAAAAGATGTGGAGGTATCCTATTGGTGGAAGCGGGTGATTGTGATGGACAAAGGAGGTAGGTACTATAGACTACCTAAAGGCAACCCACAAGAGATCCTTTAGTTAGTCGATCATTTTCTCCGTAAGTCTATAAGAACCACCCATTTCAACCAATAGGATTGCTCCATACTCCTTATGTCTTCTTTGTCTTTAGCTTTGTCCATCAATTTCAACAATCAGTCCGCTGGACTATACAGCTGTAAGGATCATGGCGCTATTTTATTTAAACTGTTAGGGCTCAGCGCTAAGTTGTTTTTCCGTGGGGGAGAGTATTTTCATGCCTGTGCCGCTCTCTAAATGGGTTCTCCTGCTGTAGCCCTTTCATGGGGCTAAAGCAGAACGCGACTCATAGGAATTAGTATTTGCTAGGGAGAAACGAATGAAAAATGTCATCTGCGGCAAAAGTATCCATCTAAGCTAGCAGCGTTAAGAATTCATTTCAGAAGTTGGAAATTATCTCGTATCACGTCTTGAACTCTGTCACTATCCTCTCTCTTTACGTGGGGCCCTCAGGACTCCATGAAAGCCTAGTAATTGTGACCATAGCCATCGGTTAAAACATCAATTCAGCTCCGCGAGAGGTTCTAGTAAATCAGTTATGTAAGACAGGGTTAAGTTAGGTTAGGTCAAGTAATGTTAAGTGAGAGAGAATAATGCTTGAAGAAATTGTAAGGAATTCAATTAGAATACTATCATTAGGGGTAGTATTGAATTTCGTTGCCACCATACAATAATGGTTGACTATATCATCACCATCGCATAGAACGTAGAATGGGTAATCCTACTGTTTTCCTCCAGACTAGGTTAAGTGAGAAGTGCTAGATACACCTGTGAGCTAGACGAGCATCTTGAGCGGCGAGTAGGCCCTCGGTCGTGTTCGACCATCTCCGTAGCTAATCAGGTTGCACAGTAACTCGCTCAATTAGGATCGGATCCCACTTTTCGCGTCTAGACGCGCGTCTAGCAAGATGTATCCGGCGCTTCAGGTAAGAGCGAAAACTGCTCGAAGAAAATATTGGGAATACAATATTCGGAACTCATCACAAGAGGCATCATTAATTTGAATCGCTACCCTCATAAATGACACGAGTTAACTATTCGATTGCGGAATGTGTAATTTGAGTGCTCTGCCGGCAGGCGGTAAGCGACAACCAGACGTGGACGTGCGTCGGCGTGACGCTCAACGCCCCGCCGTTCAACTCGGTGGACCTCTTCCCGAGAGAGGCGACCAATCACGAGGAGGACAACAGGGTGAGGATCCGGGTCGAGGACTACAAGCAGGTCGGGGCTTTCTATTTCCAGACGGATGGCTTGCCCGCCCACGGAGGCTCCATCACCTCCGTCTTCCTCCACGCCAACGACGACGCCCTCAAGCTCTACTATTCCGACGCCCACGTCACCGACGTCGTCGTCTGGAAGGTAATGATAATACTCTACAGGAGCTATTTACGGAGAGCACCAGCGACAAAAGACCCTCCACTGGCCTTTTGGTGAGGTGGCAGCTTTTACTTTTCGGGATTCAATACTCCCTTGTGGACAATGATGGGCCTGTTGCAAACTCTTGCTATAGCAAAAATTGACATGTTTCTATCAAACAGATTTATGTGGAGGTGAAAAATATGGGGTGTGCGCGTTAGTTCTCTGGCCGTAAGAGTGAATGAGAATAATAGAGCGCCAATGACGTCAGCGGCAATGAGAGTCATGGGCCCCGCATTCAGTCGGCACATAGTGCTGTTCGCTGAATTTAAAATCCCGCTTTCCCAATTCTTCGGAAGGAATCACGCCCACTGACTACATTGTTTCTTATGCAGCTTTCCAGAGCACACCTCATATTTCTCGCCAGAACATAGTTCTGTTTGGTAGAAATACGTCCAAATAAGAGTTGTTACCCATAGAAAGTGTTTCAAAACTCACGATGAACGTATCGGCAAAGTCTGAAATGTCTCCTTACTTGACGATTTGCTTAAGAAATTTTCGTTTTTTCGAGCTTCCCGCTTCGAAAACGATACCACGGCACAGGTGAACATTTCGTCAGAAGAGTCAACCCAAATTCCGCTCACAAGGATACTGCGCAGTATTCAACATAGCCGGCACCAATCCGCCAAAACATATGTGTGACAGGACGATGATTCTAACCACCTGATAACGATCGGCGTGTTTACATTCACATTTTTCTCGCGTTGTTGGATATCCGCCTTGATCGACCTCGTGCTCTCCTCAACTTGCGCGCGGAAGCGTCGGCCGTGTTGAGCAGGATTGAATGGAACAACTCCCCTAACGAAATGTCCATCCGTCTTGTAGTATCCTTTTTGAAGCGGGAATTTAAAAAAAAAAAAAAAAAAAAAAAAAAAAAAAACGCAAATGTCTTACGCAGGTAGTGAAGTTAGAAGCGCATTTTAGACTTTGCCGATGCGCTCATCGTAATTTTTGAGACAATATCTGTAAGGAACAACTCTTTCATTTTTGCTCTAGCAAAATTTTGCAACAGGCCCATCAAAAGGAGCAACAGTCATCACTCTTTTTTCGGCTGTTGGCCTATCTGCTTGGTGGATGATCAGGATTGCTAAACCAATTGCTCAACTCGGGCCTCTTAAGACAGCAATAGTCAATACCTCTGTGTTAGCCCAACCACTGGATCCTTGATAAGCTTCTACTAATGTCATGTGCCGAAAAATGTACCAAACTTGGCTTTTTTCTGAACGAAATGTGCAACATGTTGTTAAACAGCTACCTAAAGGTTTGGCTAACAGTTGAATGTTGCAGTCCCAAAAGTAGAAGCCTCGGCCTTTGCCAATATACCAATGAGGGGTCTCTGTTTCAGCCTATATTCAATTTGCGACTCATGAATTCGGTCAGCTTAAGTTAGGATCCGTGTCGATGTCAGTACCTTACCGTCAGTAAAAACCGGAAAATATCTGGATAATCGGTCATGGATCAGCAAATTCTGAGTTCGTCAAGTGTTTTTAAATTATACATACAGCTTAGCACATGCACAAGTGGAACACGAATGTCACTTTATGCGTGCAAAAAATCAGGAAACTTCATCCAGTAAATCGCAGTAAAATGTGAGGAGAAACCAAAATGAAATCTTAGTAGACAACCTGCGGGCTGATTATTGAAATTTTGTGTTTGTCGAACGGACATAGGTTAAATGGCGGAGCATGATTGGTCAGCTATGTCTTATTGCTGCTTTGTCGTGCCTTTGTCAGTTGGAATTCACGACACCGTACTGTTGGAAACTCAAGAGGTGCCCTTAGCTTGTCGTGAATTCTAACCGAACAGAACAGCCGAACAGCGGGCCGATTTTCGACATAAATAAACAAAGCTGTAGACAAAGAAGACCTAAGGAGTATGGAGCGGTCCCATTGGTTGAAACTGGTGGTCTTTACAGACTAAGAGGGAAAATGATAGATTAACTGTCGGGTCTCTTGTCGTTAGTTAGTCTATTACCTACCTCCCTACCTCCTTTGTCCATTGCAACCACCCGCTTCCACCAATAGGATTCCTCCATATTCCTTTTGTCTTCTTTGTCTATAGCCAGGGTGTCTATCGGTCCCCAAAGTCCCCGATTCTGGAAAGGTGTCCCCGATCTCCCCGAATGTCCCCGATTTTCATGTTCAGGTCCCCAAAAAGTGAGAAGAATCGTCCGCCGAAAATTTCAAATTTTCGCGTTGCTACGATTGCGCGCAAGGCGGCAGAAATTCGAACCCTCGCTGACGTGTTTCGGCGAGAACGGTCGGAAACCTCGCGAGCTCAGTGTCGAGTTTATCTACATCTCATTTTATGTCGCTTTCTCTCGCGGCTTTTCTTTCGTGTAACTTGGTAAATATGCCCCAAATTTTCATCAAAAAAGTCCCCAAAAGTCCCCGATTTAGGTTTTCCTCAGCTGGTAGACACCCTGATAGCTTTGTCTATCAATTTCAATTATCGGCCGGCTCACGCTTCGCCGCTGTTTAACCTATGTCCGCCCGACATACACACAATTTCCATAATCGGCCTGCTGGATGCGATCAAGATTCCGTGTCCAAATACGAGGGTGCGTGACATTGTATCCACCCTAACCGAACATAACCTAACCTAACCTACTTAACCTAACCTAACCTAACCTGCCGGTTGAGTGGATGCAACTAGAGTCCCTTTATACTGAGAGTCAAGACAATTCGGCTCATGGATGTCACAAACGGGAATAAAGATTACAGAAATAGAACGTTTTTCGTAATCTTTGATCGGCCCATTCTCAAATGCCTTTCTCCATTCCTCCTCTCATTCCGTTTGTTCCTTGCCGAACCCGTAATTCCCTGGTCCATTCCCGATTATAATCTTTGCAATTGGTGAAAATGTAATCTTTATTCCCGTTTGTGACACTATGGAGGCCTAAAATACGGGAACCAATCAGAAATGGATTCAAATTGTCTTGACTCTCAGTGTAAAGGGACTCTAGATGCAACGTCATGTGCCCAGAAAGTATGGAAGGTTAGATGCCCGACTCAATGCTAGGTAATTGAAACAGAAGCGCTCGCAGCGCGCTCGCTGGCGACGTACGCAACTACTATTTTCTATTGTTTTCCAGTGACTAGCGGCGGGTATGTTGCTGCCGGACCACCTCCACGTAGGCAATATTTTATACATCGTCCGTCCGCAACCCTCGCTTNAGAGCGGTCAGCGGTGTCGCACCTTTCATTCATTTCTTATCAGTGCAGCGCGATGCGACATGTGATGCGGCAAACCTCCTTCTAGATCATTCCAACAACTTAGAGTTGCCACGTTGTGCATATTCATTTTTTGCACTTGCGGAAACGATCGATGATTTCCTAGCGGAAATGATCGCCGATTTCCAGCCCCTTTTTCAGTTCCTCGCGGAAATGATCGACGCCCCCTCGCTTAGCCAATCAGCGCAGTGGTATGGGATTCCGCTCGCCGCGCACTCTCGCGCCAACGTACGCAACTGCTTGCTCACGGCTCCAACTTCTGTTTCAATTATTCCCTATCCAGTCGGGCCTCTAGCCTTCCATACTCTCTGCATGTGCCCCAAATACGAGTGCGTGGTAGTAAAAGAAGTGAACCTTTGCAGGTGCACAACGACCCGGTGATCCAGCTGGGCTGGAAGCCGCGGAACATCTCGAACGTGGTGGTGGACACGGTGGACGTGATCCACAGCCGGTGGGCGTTCTCGCAGACGGCGGTGCCCTCGGCGATCATCGGGGCGGCGCCGTACTACACGGACCCGAAGCTCGTCGACGCCGGGCGAAGCATCTCGGCGGTGGTGCGGAACCTCCGCTGCGAAGGGAAGTGCGCCGCCCTCCTCCGCATCGCCCCGATGAACAACTACGACCTCCGCATAGAGACGGTGCGCTTCGACGAGCTCCTCGCCGACGACCGCGCCCGGCTCGGCATGAGCCTCGTCGGCACCAAGATCAGCGACCAGGAGGACGCCTACGTCCACGGACAGGAGGTCCTCCGCATGGGCATCCACGTCCGGGATTGGCTCATCGCCGGCCGGAGGGTCTGCGCCGACAACTGGCGCTCCGAGGAGCTCGGACAGCTCAACTTCAACATCGGCTTTTGGGGACAGTGGAGCATCGCTTGAACCCTGCCAGCTTCCAAGTTTTCCATGTTCGTTGTATGTATGTATAAGCCGCTTTTACGGCGCGCTAGGGCGCTCTGCGACGCCTACCCGCCACAGGAATCTGTCATGGTAGAGATCCTCCGGAAGCTGGCATCTCTCCATCTCTTCACGGATGCCCTCTACCCGCCGTTTGGCTGGACGCCCTCTCCGTCGCCTACGTGCAGGAACCCACTTTAACACCTTCTTCGGCAACCTGGTATCAGGCATTCTCTGCACATGCCCATGCCATACCAATTGCTTGGTCATGATATTGTGCACAATTCCGTGTTCACCTCGTCCCGAAATATTTGTACGTTAACAATTTGATAAAGTTGCTGTTGTGGAAACCGGCACCGGCGGAATTGCATGAGCTCCGACTCAAAGAATGAGTCAGTTCAGGGTTGCCATAGTCAGGAAATACTGTACTGGGGAAACCGGGAAATGTCTGGGAAAATGACGAAAACGTCAGGGAAAAATTGTCCAGTCACCTTAATTTCCTTTCTGGAATGGGTTTAATGTTTCGAACAACAAATTTTGCCTCAGAGCTGTATCAAATCGTGTATTTTTAAATCTGGCATATCTTCAATATTGTCAGGGAATTTTACCAAAATGTGATTGAGAAACCAGGGAACTGTCAAGGAATTTCATTCTCTAAATTCCGTGGCAACCTCGTCAGTTGCGCCGGTCACGGAATTATGTTTTCATGCTTGATTCTCGCAGGTCAGCTGAGAACAGTAAGATCCGTCTAAACAGCAACTCTCTACGTTGGATATTAACCGAGATATCGCCTTTTGAAAAAGTCGGTTTATGACGTCATCCACCGCGGTAGTCACACCCTTTGTTTCTTCCACCTTGCTTTCTTCCGAGTTTCACGTTGAGTAAACAGAGGAAATATTTGTTTTACCAACTGATGAAAGCAGGGTGGAAGAAACCAAGGGCGCCACTACCACGGAGGATGACGGCATGAACCCAATTTTTCAAAACGCGATATCTCGGTTGATATCCAATGTAGAAAGTTGCTGTTTAGGCAGATCTTATCATTCGTAGCTGATCTGCAAGAATCAAACATCAAAACACGATTCCGTGACCAGCGCAACTGACCCATTGCGCGAGTTCTGAGTCAAAGAATTGTTGTCTGTTTGTTTGTTTGCTGTACCCATAAAACTGATGAGCATGCCAGCAGCTCATTTTTGCTGGGTCTCAATGTTTGGGTTGCTACTCCTTAGTACAGTGGCAATTTTGTAAGTTGGCAATACTTACTATTTCATACTTTCCTCCGTCTAAATTCATTAGAAATAGTGATCTTAGGTGTGGCAAGCTGCCTCGTAAAGAGTCAATCGTTTTACATATATTTAAATGGCGGGAAAACGGTGTTGCCAATATTCATGAATCGCCCCTACCTAAGCTGCCGTGCTAAGGAAGAACGCCGTATGAACCTTCAAGCGTTGCCAAATTCCCTTTGCTTAAATGCACATTTTCGAGAAAACTTATGATTATTTTTCTTCCAGTTTTTCAGACGATTTTGTTCGCAATTTCACCTAAAGTTCCTGAAGATTTCAAGGGAAAATATTCATGAATCTTCTTGAAAATTCATATTTTATCGGAGGAAATTTGGCAACCCTCAAATGTTCATACGGCGTTCTTCCTTAGCACAGCAGCAAGGCTCTCCTAATCATTACTACCTTTGAACGGAATTGTTTCGATAGCTTACTGAGTATCGATAGGACATCCCTACCGCCTCTTCTGCTCACAATTGAATATTTAAAAAAATATTCTCAACGTGTTTTCCAGGACAGGAGACTTTCTAAGAAAATTTCCCGTAAAGTTCTCAGAAAATTCTTTGTTTTTCCTTCTTGAAAATAATAAAATGTTCGTCTGGATGTTTTGAGCACATTCGCAGAAATTAATGGATAAACGCGACCGAATTGGATGAATAGGTCTACTGCACATAATTGATACAGTCATCGGAATAGACATTCGTAGTTCAATTTGAAACTGCTCCCAACTCATTTTTTCTCGAAACTAAGCTTGTCGCGTTTCTGTCGAACCCAGTCCAACTTTCCGAGAAACCAAAAAAATGTTCGGCCAAATGGAACGGGCCTCGTGGTTCCTCAGAATGATAGTTGGTTACTTTACCCTATGAAAAAGTTGCCTGTTAATCTTCCATTCTTCCATTAATGTATTTATTTATTAATTTTATGACTAAAGCTTTGAAAATTGCCACCAAATAATTCGCAGCTGTCTTCGCACTCTGCGCTGAAGTACTTTTTTTTACATGAGCTATTGAAACTCCAGCTCCGGGTGTAGTTAATTTAAAAAAATCAGAATTTTGTAATTAACTTTTAGCACCTCGTTAATATTGACCCATACATGTAACAATGTCCTTGTCACGAAATTGAGTTTTAACAATTTATGGTAAGAATTGACTTGAACGTGATTACACGTCTTTGAAAAATAGTCATTGTGAAAAAAAGGGATTTTTGGCAAGGTTCAAGAATTTTGCTCAAATATCAGTGTAGATTCGTAAAAATTATGAAGATTACAGTATTTTTGCAGCAAAAGTTCCGCATATTTTCTTCGATGCTGTAAAAGTTTCATTTGTTACCTCATTCTAATTAAAAGAAATTGTACCTATAATGGTATGCATGAGGTACTTATCAGTACTTATTCTAACTCGCAAAAAATACTCATGCAACAACGCAGAAGTACTCGAAAATTTTTCCAGGACTGACTGTCGAATTATTAAGGCTACCTTTAAGTTATGATTCATACAAATTCTGGGATTCTCGCACGAGATGAAGGAAAATTCAAAGTTTTAAAAATATTTGAAAATGTCATCTAGTTTTATTTTCCGCTGCGATTGAAGATAAGTCCAACTTCAGGCGTCAATTTGAGGAAATCACGCCAAAAATCCAACACACTTTTCTGAATTTAGACGTTGCAGAAGACAAAAGTAGCGGCATGGTGAAAAATAATTAGTTTTCCTCAAAAATGATACCTCATCCAGGCTTCCGGCCCCGGCTCCGTCGATTGGATGAAAACTCATGCATACTCTACTTAGATGCGGGTTGGGCTTTACAGTGGCTCAAAGTGAATTGCTTCCATCAGTCACTTTTTCCGGAAAGAAAAATTAATGATGAGCCAAAAAAAGGAAGCCGAGGTCGTGTTGGGAACTCAGAATGAGCTCAAAAAATGTCTCTGTTAGTCATGTCATGGGACACCGCTTTAGAGGCCCATTTTCAGGTCACGGGTTTATACAGTTTTTCTGAGCTCCTCATTTTTTCTCGTCGCACAAGTACGCAACAAATACTCCCGCGCTTAACGCTTAGGAACAACGCCGTACAAACCTTCGAGCCTTGCCAAATTTCCTTTGATAAAATGTTTATTTTTGAGGAAAGTTATGAATATTTTTCCTTTAAACAGGAACTTTGGATCAAAATACGAACAAAATTCACCGAAAAATTAGAGGAAAAATAGTCATAAGTATATGAGGGAATTCATGTTTCATCCAAAAAAATTTGACAACGCCTCAAGTTCATACGACGTTTTTCCCTAGCACGGCAGAATAGTCTATCGAAGTTCGAAATTAAATTCCAGTTCTTTATAATACCTCCAATCGGGTGTATTATCCAAAATTTTATACTTAAAATCCTACAGTAGGCAAACGGTTCAATAGTCTTCGTATAAATCGTTCACGAATAATTTAGTTTGACACACATTTAGACGCAACCTCGTCCAATTTAAGACTAGATTTTGTAAATTTCTAACGTGAGCTTTTTACATTACCTGAAACTGGTAAATCCTAAATGAGTGCCGTCCGGAATCGCATTTTAGGGCGTAATTAAATATTTATTTTTTTCAAGCTTTATAGTGCCAAAGTCTTTATTTTTAGAAAAGTTTCTCGCCCTTCAATATGACACGGAGTCAGGAGAATGGGCCTTAAGGCGGGGAAAAGAGGGTAATAATTAACACAGTTTAGAGAGGTTAACTCTGCATCTTGTGGCGCAACACCTGAACTTCATATTTTGACCTATGTAAGCACAGTTCAAAGATGAGGATATAGACGAAAAATTGAAGAAAATCTCTTGGAATGTGCCAGCGATGTCACTAGATTCTGACATGATTGATTTAAAATTCTGAATAATAAAGCATCACTTTAAATCGAAATGATGACTTGAAATGTCGACCCAATGTTAGGGGAGCATTATAGGAAGCGTTCACCATTGCCTTGAGAAAAGTTTCCTGTTGGATCCATAGGAATTCCTGTTAAATCTGCCGTTCCTCTGACAGGAGTCCCTCGTTGAAACAACTGGAAATCTCCTTGTCCCAAACAGTATTCCAATCATTTCAACGGGACGTTCGGTTGCTTCAAAAAGATTTACGGTTCTTTTTACGCGGATTGGCGGAAAATTGTCGCGGTGCGGCGTATGTAAGAGGACCATTTTCCTCAGTGTGAGAACTGAAATTCTACATTTTTCACCTCTATCAGGTTTTTCTTTTGTACTGAACAATTCGAAATCTCACCCTAAAAAATTTTGTATGACCCTATCATGAGCAGGAAAATACTTCATTTCTCAAAGAAATTGGGGTGTATTCTCGTTTCTGGTGTCTAAGATGAGTCAGCGCCTTTGTGATAAAATACTTTTAAAGTTTTATACATCTTAGGTTACATTACGTTTAAGTTTTTTGTGCATTCCATTATGCAGTAAACTTCTGTTATGATACATGCCGGTAAATATCTATTACATATGTTTATTTATCTGTAAATATGATTTGATTTTCTAAGCTGCATATACCTATCGTGATCGGAGGCTCATTTAGACCGCGGTTGGCAGAAAGGAACCAAGCCGCATCAGCCACCGCTAAATTTAATCGGGAAATGTAATTTTCTACCAGAGAACGTTTGTGCGGATTCTTTTGAAAATTGAAAGGAATTTACTTTACTGAAAATTTACTGAAATTTGCACAAAAATCCGCATAACCGTTTTCATGCAAACGATCAAATTGCCCAATTAAATTTATCAATAGCTTATCGACGGTGAAACTACCAAACCACGTATCTCGTTTGCGGTGTTTAAAAATCTACGCTCACATTTTATTTTTTTGAAGTAGACCAAATCAATATCATTCCTT